GAACGAATAATAGCCAAGACCTGGAGAGAGATGCCGAACACATCGACTTGAGCACTCCCTCTCTTGCCTCTCTTGTCAGAAGCGATCGGCACGGTCGTCGATTCCCCTTCCTCTTTTTTTTTAGTTGCTTTTGCTTCCCCTGGAAAGGCCTCTCCCCCTGCATCCTCTGTTCAACAGAAACCCAGTCCCTTGGTACACGGTCTAACGTCTCCTCTTTTTCTTCCTTCTGTTGATCCTTCTGCCTTCTGTCCAGTTGTCTAGACTCTCCTTGTGGCTCTGAATGCTTCTGGACTCTCTTCACTTGCCTTCTCCATTCATATATTACCCACTCCCAGTCCTTGGTTACATTCTGTCCGTTGATCTTCCTTTCTTTTTCCTTCTCTTCCTGTTACTTCTTATTTCTGTGTTCCTTTCCCCACGTTTGCAATCTTCTCTCGAAAGAGAAAAAGATCAGCAGAACAGTCAACACTCGAGGCGGTCCACCGCTTGTGCGTTTGCTCAAGACCGGCCCGTCAATCGATTTTCCCACATCTCGTACTCGGATCCCGGCCTCGACACTGTCACCATGTATGCGTCGGACGGCCACTACTCGGCGGCAAGCATTGCTACGCAGGCCGTCGCCGCCTCGGCCAATGGCATTCACAGCAAGGGCACCGAGGAGGTATTCACCTCGATCAGTGCTTTCATCTCCCGCGCCATGGCCTCGACCGCCGAGTATCCCACATCGCCTCTGCAGCAGTTCGGTTTCGCCATCATCGTCTTCTTCCCGGTTCTCGCCTTCATTATCGTTATGCTCCGTGTCTATAGCCGTGTCAGCACCAAGCAATTTGGGATTGACGATGCCCTGATCATTGTCGCCATGATCCTGTCTATTGGTGAAACGGCCTCGACGTGGATGTTTATGAAGACCAACTTTATTGCCATTCACATCTGGGACGTTCCCCGCGAGTACGACGTCGTCCAGGCCCTGATCTGGAATTTCGCTGTACAGGTGCTCTACAACCCGATTCTCGCGCTCGTCAAGACGTCCATGCTCTTGTTCCTGCTGAAGCTCGGCAGCCAGAAGCCCGGCGTCCGCATCTGCATTCACATCCTCAACGCGCTCAACCTGATGCTCATGGTCGCCATTTTCATCGTCGTCATCTTCCAGTGCACACCCATCCGCTTCAACTGGGACACAACCATTGTCGGCGGCCACTGTATCAAGCAGGGCATCTTTTACCTGGCCACCGCCGCCTTGACCATCTTTACCGATGTGCTCAACTTGGCCCTGCCCTTTTGGGTTTTCCTTGACCTGAAGATGCCGGTCCGCGTCAAGATCGCTCTCCTCTTTGTCTTCCTCCTGGGTGGCATGTAAGTTGTTTCTTTCCACTGTCAAATTACGCCTCGTGTGCTTTCACTAACATTTGTCCAGCGTCACGGTGGTCGGTATTGTCCGCCTGGTTTTCATTTACGACGGCTTCTTTACCGCCCCGGGCCCCGATCCGACGTACTCGCTCGGCTTCTGCACGTCTGCCATTGAGACCAACCTGGCTATTATCTGCGCTTCGGCACCCTCGCTGCGCGGCCTCGTCCGCTCCTGGTTCCCCCGCTTCTTCTCATCCAACCGCCCCACGTACGACTACCGCTATCCGGACAGCAACGGCTACGGCGGCGGCCGGCGCGGCACCAACAACAACAACCCCTACGGCACCAGCAGTGTCACGACCAACATTGCCGCCCGCCGCAACAAGGAGAACGGCATTGGCCCCGACAACGGGCCCAGCACCGACGGCCTGGGTGCGAATGCGGCTGGCACCAGCCGCCGGGGGGTCGGCGGCTCGTTTGCGCTGCGCGACCTCAAGGGCGGCTCCAAGACGCACACGGCGGTCAACAGTTCGCCCAGCGCCAGCGAGGAGGAGATTATGACGTACAACGGCATTGTGCGCACGACCAATGTGCAGGTGCACTACGACGGCAGCAGCGAGCGCAAGGGCAGCACGAACCGCGACCGCAGCGGCGATCGGGACAGCAGCATGGGCATGCGCACAAGCATCAGTGGGAGTTTGTAACAACGGAGGTTGACGTGCGTTTGTTTTTCTTTTTCTTTCGATCCCAACGAAGAAAATCATATGAGCTTACGAGTACGAGCGGTTATGGAGGACGACGTTTTGACATCCTTGGCCCCCATTTTTCAACTCATTATTTTTGTCGTACCGAAAAGGCTTGTGTTTTTTTTGCATTGGTTTTCTTCTTTTGTTATTTCAGCGTTACTTGTCTCCTATTCCCAATACTCGCATTTTTTTGTTCCCTTTCTTTTATTTACTGTCCCGTCCTCCTTTGGCAAAAAAGCAGACGTTTTTCTTGTATAAGCACCCTTGCAAATAGCAAACATTGTATATTATTTTTTCTCGTTACGTTTAAAGTCCCACCCAGATGGAGCAGGCACATATTGAAAATTGTGAAGGATTATGGTTTTTTTGTTTTCATTTCATTGATTCGATGGTTACGCGACATCGTGGTTTTGTGTTTTTGGCCCCGACGCAGGTGACACCGCGAAGGCGCACTTGATAATAACCGCATGATACATCAACAAAGTCCTCTTTGTCACATTGTCGAGAACGACTTGCGGTTTCGATGAAGACGAAGAGGAAAATAAATAAGTAAATAAAACTCGATTGCTCTCCAGTCAAGTGGCAGTGGTGGTTTTGTCTATCGGCAACACCCATCCTTTTCAAAGGCGTCCATTGTCCATTGTCCCCCTGCCCCACGATGTACCTCAACGTACGGATCTCGGTGCCACTTTTCTGGCCCCCAGGCCGTTCCCTCTTCCGTTCCTGGCCAGCCCTCCCACCCTTGTCGGACCCCCTGTCTAGTCGATATTCCAATTTTTGGTCGGTCTCAGGCTCTGTATGTCGTGCGTCGTATTTCCTTCATCGTCCCCCTGTCCATGTTGAGGAACCCACACACACTATCTGCAGCAAAACGACGAGGCAATTTACGGCGTATGTCCCACATACTGTCTTCGATCTCCTCGGAAGATGTGTCCGTTGTTTTTGCATTTCTTGATGCTCAACCCCCATTTCAAAGAGACGAGACTTTGGCGTCCATTGCCTCTAGATGCAATTGACGGAGAAGAGACCGAACTGAGATAACGTAGCCAACCTTGCCATTTTTCGTACTTTTCATTGCTTTGTCTTTGCTTAACATCCACGGCTCCTCGTCCACGTTTGTGTCATCGGTCTGGCCCTCACGCTGGCCCTCACTCTGGTCCTCGGCATGGTACGTTGCATTCGCAATGACACCTGCCCGGCCCGGATATCAAAAGGGCCATTCGTTGCTCCGCCCTGTCCGAAAACTGGATGACGAGAATAACACCGAGCATGGGCGCAGCACGTGTCTGTAACAGACGCAATGCTACGGTGTGCAACGGGAAAAAGACAAAATAGGAGAAATGGGGCGTAGCGGAGCAGAAAGTCCAACATTGAGCACAAACGGGTCACAAGTAATTACGGAGCAGTCATCGGTTTACAGCTGGTTTCAAAAATGCATTGTGTTGCCCGGTTTTCGTCTCGCTGTCAAGAAAGGGCAGAAAAATTCTACGGTTCTCTCACATGCCCTAATGTTGGGATGGATGACAGACGTGTCAGATGCAGTGAATCGACAGAGTCAAAGCCACGGCTTCTGTCGCCTTATGGCCACCACTGCATATCATCTTGCATGGTTCGTCGTTTTGTCACTTATCTTTTCGGCCAGGCCGCCACATGGCAAAACACAAGGCACCCAGTCCCCGGCACCCGGCATCTGGCACACAGTTAAGGGCACATCCTCCTTGGCACTCCCACATGGCACGAACTGGCACGAACATGGGTGGTGAATGGCTATCTTTTCTTTTTGGATCTACCTGATGCGGATCTACCAGGAACAGACTCGCCCGTCATAGCATATGACTGAGATCTGGGAACTGCACCGTCAATGAAATTACGACATACACATTGCTCCGGTTCGCCTTGGGAGTTGGCCTCGTACGGATTGTTCTCTGTTTCCGTGAGCTCTCTTCCGCCGCCGTGTGCACGCATCAATATCCCATCATCACCCAACTTTGCCGGTGTCGCCTGTTCCAGCTATCTGTAGCAGCCATTTTGGCCATCCTTTTTGGCGTGAACAGGGTATCTGACGCCAGGAACGGTCTGTGGCGTTTCCGTGTAGTTGCCGGCTGGGCAATTCCGAGATGTGCATAACAATTGTCTGCATCTACGACGTACATTCATGGCTAGCGTTTTTGGCTGAAACTGCCGTAATGAAAACAGTTTTTCTGGAGCCCAAGTGAATAACGAGATATGTGCATTGTACACCGTAGGGAGTAGACATACACCTATCTCACACCTTTCCACCTGCACCTTACTCCAGTGCCTTAACGATATTAGGCGTCCTTCCTCCCAATGCAGCTCTTGCGCAAGCGACGTCTCTTGTTAAAATGAAGGCAAATTGCAAAAGTGGGGAGCAAGCGGTGCATTCCCAGTACAGATATGAAAGGCACCGCGTCACTTAACCTCACTTACACACACGTCACGTGATAAGATGGCGATGTATTGTGAAAGTCAACATCATTTTGACAAGATGTCTCTTGGAGAGCGGCTCACATGGCCCTTATAGGATAGCCGACTGTAACTGCTAGTAAGCATGCTTGAGGAACTCATCGTCTCTTTTTTCATTTCCTAAGATTTTAGCTACTCCATTGTTTGGCCACTAATTTTTTGAGAAAAGAAATAATAAATTACTCCAAACAATAAACAAAGAAATCAGTATGTAATTCCTTGCCAGGCATCTCGTCGCAGGGAGAACAAAAGCAAATGCAGATAGAAACTGAACTTGGCGCAACAAAAGTAAGTAGAAGTAAATACCAAAGTAGATAAGACGTATAGAGATGCACAAGGTTCCAAGGAAATGCACAGACTATCCCAAAATAAGTCCTCAGGCTCTCACCATCCCTTTGAGAAGGTATTATCCACCACCTCATCCTACCTGTGGTAGTATGTATTATGCACCTGGCCTGAACCTTGCGGTCGGTCTTGCGCGCTGAACACCTCGGCGCTCAGCTCTTGTGCCCGTGCTAGCGGCGAGCCGCCATCACTGCCTGTGGCCCGGTGTCGGCGGTCTCCGAGGCGCGGTGATCCTTGTTCTCCCACACTAGCTTTGGTGCCCACGCTGCCCCGTGGCGGTGGGGTCTGTACCTCGCTGACCTGCGCGGTCCATACTCCACGCCCGCTGCCGTGATCGCTGGGCGACTTGCCGACCGCCTGCGGTTGGCTGGCATTGTACGTACCGCTGCTTCCTGTACCCGTACCCGTACCCATCCCCGTTCCAGTCCCTGAACCCGACCCGGTTCCACCTGTTCCCGTGTTCGACCCCGAGTCCAGTGCAGACCCCACGGGCGTCAAGTGCATGTACCCACTGCCGCTGGATGCGGCAAGCTCAATCGGCGGCTGTGCGTACGCAACGGCATATGGGCTGGTCGGCGGGTATGGCGAGTACGGCGAGCCGTGCTGTGGAGACCAGCCGCCGGGTGGCGTGGGTGCATCGGTGTAGCGGCCGTGGTGGACCGGCGGGTGCATCATCATCATGGCCGTTCCAGGCGCGCCGGCCACGCCATAATAGGGGTCGTGGACGGGGAAACCTGGCGGGCCGTTGAAAGGGCGGCGGTAGCGGCGACGGCGTCCCAACCAACCCTCCCCCTCCGTCCTTGGGTGGCCGTTGCCACCGCCACCGCCGCCGCCTCCTGCCTGGCCACCGAGACGCCGTTCGCGGTACCGCCGCAGACAGGTCCAGCAGCCGGCGACAAACAGAATGACAGCGAACGCCCCGCCGACGGCGATGCCCGCAATGGCGCCGGTGGCCAAATGACTTCCACCAGAGTTGTTGTTGTTGTTGTTGTCATTTCCGCTACCGCCGTTGCTCCCGACACTGCGCGTCGGCGTCCGCGCGGCAATTATCGCCGTCCGTGTCATCAGCACCTTCAGGTCCGGGCTGTCCCACCCGGCCGCCGGCGCCGTCTTGGTCGCGCCCCCCGACGGCCCACCGCCAATGGCGCTCACAATCGCGTCGGGCACCAAGTACGTCGTCTCGTTGGGCGCGTACAGCTGCCACAGCGCCTTGTTGGCGGCAAAGCCCATGGTGAGGTCGGCGTTGTGCGTGCCCCACTGCTGCGGCACGTCGCAGTCGTCGGACAGGGGGAACGTGCCGCCGATGATGAGCATCTGCGCACCGGAGACCACGTTGCAGGTGAGGCTGTGGTGAGGGTACTGGCCGGTGACGTTGCCGTCGGTCGGGTACAGCTTGATCCATGTGAAGGTCGGGAGGGACAAGACGTACATGTCGTCGTAGCCGGCGGTGTCGGGCGGCATGGACGCGCCGCCATAGAGGTATCTGGCAACACAGTGATGAGTGGGTTGGACATGAAGTCGAGAGAATGAGGACAAGAAGAAAAAAAGGAGACGCGAGGGTGGGCAAAAAATCGTGAATGGGAAGAATAGGGGAAACGAGGCAGAAGGAACTGAGCAGGAAGGAGCGAGCGTGTGGCCATGCGATGAAAGAGCAGGAAGCAAGAGAACACGTCACAATCAAAAGGAGAAGGGGCGAACGAGCAGGATCCAAATTTGGGATGAGCACGTGCTTAGTGACAGTGAAGCCATCATTGTCATGACAATGTCATGGCAATGTCATGCCACATGGCCTGGCCACGATGACTGCCCGCAAAGACAACTTACATGTTGTAGCTCGACTGGTCGGCGGCCCAGGTGACGCCAGCACAAAACCGACGGCGATCGCCCGGGATGGTGCCCGACGCGTGCTGCGCGTACCATTTGGAGCTCAGGACATCGTACAGATAGATTGTGTCGAGGCCCTGGCCCGTCACGGTGCCGTTGCCGTACAGGTCGGTGATGCCGCCCAGATACACGAGCATGCCGCCGTCGCCCGCGGGGATGAATACCAGGGCGCCCTCGGCACGCCGCACGCCGTCGGGCCCCGTGTTGTTGGTCCAGCTGTTGGTGTCCATGTCGTACTTGACGAGCCCCGTCGTCGCCACGGGCGGGCTGTCGGCGCCCCAGCCGCTGACTGAGTTGTTGGACAGCCAGCCGCCGTAGTAGTACCCCTCGCCGCGCTCCGAGACGGCCACGCCCGCGCCATAGGACACGGGGGAAATGCTCGCCGGCTGCGGCGGGCCCAGCGAGACCCAAAAGTTGTTGAGAATGTCGTAGGCGTACAGCAGAAACCGCGTCGGCGGCGGCTGCTGGTAGTACTCGCCGCCAAACAGGTACAGGTACTTGTTGACCTCGTCGCCCCACAGGGAGCCGCCGCTGACGTCCGGGATGCTGCTGTTTTTGGACAAATTCGCGTACAGCGGCGGCATGCCCACGTCGGCGACGTCGCGGGCGAGGTCCTGGTAGAGCAGCCACGTGTTGGAGTAGTTGCCCGGGTACGTGGAGATGGGGTTCCAGTTGACGAGCCCGCCATCAATGTAGAGGCGCCGGTCGACGACGGCCGACTGGTGTCCAAAACGCCGGCAAAAGTTGTTGACTAGGGCGAGGAGAGAAATTCGGGTTAGTTTTCCTTCTCTACACGATTCGCCGCCTCCCTTATTTCAGAGACGTACTTGGATCTTGTTGGCCGGTGGCGTTTGCTACAAAGAAGAGGAGTCCGAGAATAACAACAAAGAGGCCATAATTTTGAGGTATTGACGCAAAGCGCCGGAATGACGCCGGCCGCCGATGTGGGAGGCTGGAAGCCATGGCCTCGGCTGGCGTTTGGCGCCTATGCTGCAAAAGGAGGGCCGCTGGGAGGAGAGAGTCGACTCTGCAAGTGGGAAAGACGGGCTAAGACATGCTCGAGAAAGATGTGCACGCGTAAAGAAAGACAGGCGGAGGCGTGGGAAGATGGACGATGTTGCGGTCTGGGGTCAACAAGCGATGCATGCAAAAAAAGCCAGGGACGGAATAAAAGGGACGAGGGGGGGAATCCGAGATGTGATAGAAGGGGTCCGAGGAAATGGGCAGACTGCGTGAAGCACAAGACTGGACACAGAGTACTGAACACGAGCCCTGTCGTATGGCTTTGACACAGTGGCTGAAAAAAGAACGAGATTGTTGTGCGACGATGGGGTGAAGACGACGATAGGCAGACACACAGGCAGGCAGGCAGGTAGAAGAAAAGAGGACTGCTGTTGAGGGATATTTGGTGCACAGACACGTTCTTGTTCAAAATGTATGTCTACGATACGGTGGCCCAAAAACTAGATATGAAATAGGCTGTGTCAAGCTTACTGGGGAAACAGGGCTGGAGGAAGAGGGACTCGTGTGGAGGACGGTGACGGAGCCAGGATGACAATGCGTTTGGGAGCAGGGAGGCAACCACAGGAAGAAGCCGATCAGGAGGCAGGAGGGGGATGTGAGAAGCAAAAAGCAGACTTAACAACGGAAAACATCAGCTTGTGCGGCTGAACAAGAACGTCAGATGGTTCGGTTGGGTCTGCTTGCTGGAAGTGGTGTAGCTTTACATGTGCACATAGTTTGAAGGACGAGAAAGAAGACAAGAAAACTCGTAGAGAGGGAAATCTAGGAGAGGGGGTACCACTCGACAGCCACTGCCCTCTGCCTGGCCACATGAATGGCGGCCAGAGAGAGAGGGGAAAGAGGAAACAACACGAGGAGGTGGTGGGACAAGAGACTCGACACCGAAGAATTTGGCCACTGTGGTAGTCTCTCTGTAGTATTTTGTTTTGGTCTCTCCGGCGCGTCCTCGCCTCTCGCCCCTGCTGACGGCTTGACGGTGGCTTGCTGCATGCATGGCGAGATCGCTTGCCAGAGAAAACATTTGCAGAAACGAGCAGACGCCTCATACAAGCCTGGGATTATTGCTTATTGACCGGGACAAGGTCGATAGTCCTCGCTATCTTATTGCTTGTCGCCTGTTCTTTCTCGGTGTATGTGAAAGGACACTACATTCAGTACCTCAAGCACGGATTCGCATGTCATGGTGGCTTTGACAAAAAGCTGAGGGGACATACTCTGGCGAAAAGGATATAAGACAGTGGTTTTTCACCTGTGCAAAAAGGACGAAAACTGCAGTCAACAGCTCTCAGCCCCGGTGCACGACAGTTGCATACGGAATATTGCCGAATTGGGAAGACTACCAACGAGAGGGGACAAGCCAAAAGCAAACTATAATATAAGGTGCAAAAATATTGACCCAAAAAGAGGGGAAACAAGAGTAAATAAGATAAAAAGCGTGGCTGGAAACCGTCGAAGAAGAGCGAGCAAAAGCGAACAGTGCGGCAGACCAAAAGGCCATGCCCCTGTTTCGTTCCCAAAACAGACAAACAGCAACCCAGCTACCTACTCTGTTTTTTGTCGTCTACTCCGTAGGTTCGTAGACCAATGTGTCCGTTCCCATGTTGTCTGTTGGTCGCACCTGTCTGTTGGTCGCACCCTCTTGCGCTCGCTCCTTGTCCACTTGCTTTTTCCTATGTCGCTAGTCCCCCACTTAATAAAGTGATAGGGCTAGTAGCGTCCGTTTTGCCTCTCGTGGAAGGCAGTAAAAGTGGGACCCACAAACAGCGCAACCAAAGCCGAGGAGTTCCAAATTCCTGTTCTCGTTGTCTATGGTGCATCTCATATTTGCACATCCTCTATGTGTGCTCGGGGGATGGTCTAGCAGGCCAGAGTGCAAGCCAGCAAGTGTATGTTGTAGAGACAAAACGTCGGCGAGAGCACAGAACGAATGCATATTATTCTGCGCGCTCGGCGCACTCTTTCGAAACACTCAACACGCTGACCAGAGTCACATAGAGGCCCAAGGCAGGATGCAATAAAAAGTATGAACGATGCACAAGGCACTGCATGCCTATTTATCGTCGTATGGAGGGAGGCATGTTGCCCCTCTTCGCGCACTCCTTTTCCTGCTCCTTTTCGTTTCGTACTCATCTCGTACTGCCGCCAACTGAACGGCGACGTTGACGGAACACAAATGCCATGTCCCCGAACGCCTTACCCGCAGAAAACTGCAGACGTGGAAGGACAATCGAAGAACAGGTGGAACATGCGGCGTTGGCTGCCTTCCGTCAGCAAGTCATCTTGTGTCAGACAAATGGCGTTTCTTCGGGGTTGTGGCGACGTTGGAAGAGAAAAGCAAACAAGAAGCAAGGTGCAAAACGGCACATCTTTACTCGATCGAGATGCGCGTGAGATGCAGGAGAGAAAAAGGAACAGGGGAGCGCATGTGAGATCGGCAGACAATACGAATCATCGGCAGATAAAGCCGTGCCACTGGCCGCCCTACGACATCTCATTTGACATTCTGGTTGGCACCTCGAGATGATGCGCAGCGATCGCTGACGTCCCGCTTTCTTGTTTCTCTCTGTTTCGCCATTTGCTGCAAATTCTTTTTTCACGAGTCCGCCTCCATCGGAGTCCTTCGCCTACGTGCAACACCCTTTCTACGAGAATCTAAAAGAGACAAGAACAACAGAAACAGATGTCGGTTCGCTCTATATTGTCTATCTATGCTGTATATATCATCACGCCTGGGCTTTTTCTGGCACTGCCCCTCCAGCCCTACTTCCTCGCTGCCCATCTTGCCGGGCCTGGAGGAGCGCGTCAATCGCTTGGACAGCTGCGTCTGCAGATTCTTGAGAGAACGCTGCCACGACGGCGTCCCTAAATGCGTCGTCCACTGTGACGGCGGGCTGCGCTGCGGTCTCCGGTTCTCCTAATGGGGGCGGCACCGGACGCAGCGTCGGGAAGAGTGTCGGCGGCTGCCGCGCCGTCGCCCGCGCCGCCTCGTAGTTGACAATCGTCTGCAGGTCCCACACGCTGCTGTTGGCTGCCGACCGGTCCAGGCTGCTGGTCGCACTGGGTGTCGGCATAGGTGCCTGTGCCTCCGCGTAGACCGCATAGCGTACGACGGCCGTGACGAGCGTATCGGCGCCTACGGCCGTCCCTGTCTTCTGCTGCTGTTCCCACAGAGTGCGAACACCGCCAAGCTCCGCCAGGGTGGCCACATACAGATGGCTATACGGCACCTGGGGTGGAAGCTCTGACAAAAGGACGCGAAACGACACGTCGGGGCCGGCATCCGCAGCGGGCCGCAGCAAGTGCACGCCCGTAAGGAGTGAGAATAGCTCGGCTCGCGTGCCCTCCAGAGCAGAGGCGGCGACCTTGCTGCGCAGAGCGCCCAGAAGGGCCTGGAGTGCCAAGGCCGCCGCTGGCCAGGAACCCGCGTCTTTCGACTCTTGGCTTGGCCACGTTTCTAGAAATCGGGCCTTGTCCGCATCCGTGCCGGAACCCAGCCCAGCCTGCAGGAACCGTAGCATGGCCATCGGCTGGCCGACGAGGGCCGCCGTCCACAGGCCCACAGCCCACATGGAGGACGTCGCCGCCGCCGCCGCCGCCCCTCCTTCGGCAAGCGCATGGCTCCAGTTGAGCAGCATCGCCGTCACCTGGCGCGCCGTGTCGCGGTCGTCCAACGCGTCCTTGTGCTTGCGCCACGTGCGCGTCTCCACAAACGACGCCAGCCGCTGCGCAATCGCCGTGCTGCATTGGCGCGTAATCGCCCGCCCGCTTGGTGTTTGCACGGCCAGCGACACGACCCGCCGCAGTTCCATGGGCGTGCGGCACAGCTGCAGTGCCTTGGACAGCTGCTCCGCCGTCGTGGCCACGCCGTCCTTTTTTTCGCGCGCCGCAAGCGCCCGGTGGAGGAGTAGGGGCACCTTTTGGGGCGTCGCCGCCAGCCGCGCCGAAATGCCGTTGTGGTGCAGCACGTTGCCGTGGCCCGGGTCGCGCACGCCCAGAACCGCCGCCCACACATCCTTGTCCAGCACCTGCCACGGCGTCCGCTGCTGCTCCATCACCTGCATGCGCAGCTGCGCGGCGCGGATCTGCTGCTCGGTCTGGGCGAGGCGCGCCGACAGGGCATCGATGGAGGCGTGTGCCTTGGCCCATTTTTCGGCCTCGCGGCGGCCGTCGACCGCTTCGTCGTACGGCCGCACATGGGGGTTGTCCTCGGCATCAAGGTCGAGCACGGACACGGGCAGTTCGTAGAGGGGCGTCCCAGGGCGCATCTGCCACTCGGGGCGCTGGACCCGGGGCGACACCCTGGGCGGCGGTCGAGGGATGATTGTGCCAGGGGCTATTCGGGGCAGATCTGCCTTGGGCGTCGTCGAAAAGGAGCGTGCTGTTGGTGGTCGAATGTGCGCATATGTACAGGGTGTCGTTGATAAGTTGTCTGGCCATTCTGTATGGCGTAAGGGTGGTCGGCGAGGCCGATGTGGCCGAAGTGGCCGAAGCGGACGCGGAGGCTGCATCTTGTTGGCCGTCTTTTCGCCTGGAGATTAGCACAAAACGAACAAAAAAACAGTCAGTCTGCTCAACCGTTACGAAAAATCCATGCCGTGAAGAACAGTGTCGCCTGATTTGCCCCCTTTTTTGTCCAAGACGACAATCCGGGGCACCTATGGAGTCGTCTGGGGTAGGAGCGGGCCCTGGCACGTCTGTTAGAATGCTGGTGCTGAAGCTGGCAGTAGCGTGGCTTTTTCTGCCGCGGTTCCTGAAGGCGGTGAACAGCCACTCGGAGCCACTGCAGAAACGCGACTCGCGCTGAGAGTCACGTGAAGGATCCACTCGCGACACAGGTACTTTTGCCGCCTCAGCCTTCCACCCGCGACTTATGCTATCACATACGACTCTCCCATCCACGCCACCTTGTACAGCGCACATCACACACCATGCCTCCGCGAAAAAGAGCAACACGGGCCTCCAAAAAGGCCGAGGCCGCTGCTAACGAGCCTGTGGCTGAGTCTGCGGTCGAGCCGACAACGACACAACTTGAAGAAAACTCCGCTGTTGAGGACGCGGCAGCATCAAAACCCAAGGCTACGCGAGCCTCTAAGCGGGGAACGGCCAAGGCCAAGGAGCCGGACAGCAAGTCCAAGCCTGAGCCAGAAGCCGAGCCGGAAGCGGTCGAAACTACACATCCTGACGAGGTTGAATCGACAGAGGTTGAGCCGGCAGAAGCGGAGACAGCAAAGGCAGAGGAGCCAACACGGAAGCCGACACAGAAGCCTACAAAAGAGCCAGACACACCAATAGATGTGCCGCCGGTCCCTGGACCACAAAAAGAGGCTGCCGCCCCCGCCGCTGCCCCTTCTGCGGCCGACCGTATGGCCCGCTTCAAGGCGCTTCAGGCGCGCGCGAAATCGTCTTCCGACCAGAACCTCAAGGCGGCTGCCGCCGAGACCCAGCGGCTGTCGACGGACGCGTCACAGCTGACGGCGCTGCGGCGCAAGGTGGCCGTGACGTCGCACAAGATTTTGAAGGCCGAAGTCGAGGACGCCGGGGGCGACTTTGAGCGCAAGCGGGCGTGGGACTGGACGGCCGAGGAGAGCGAGCGCTGGGACAAGCGGATGAAGAAGCGGGCGGCGCACCGCGACAACGCAGCCTTCCAGGACTACACGCAGGAGGCCGGCAAGGTCTACAAGAAGCAGATCCGCAACGCGGCCAACCTGGCGGGGCCGGACCTCGAGCAGTACGCGCGCGACAAGCTGGCGGCGGTCGAGCGGGCGGCGGCGGCGGGGACGCTGGAGATTGTGGAGACGGCGGACGGCGAGCTGATTGCTGTGGACAAGGACGGGACGTTCTTCTCGACGGCCGAGTCGACGTCGTTTGCCGACAACCGGCCGTCCAAGGAGGCCATTGACCGGCTGGTCAACGACCAGAAGAAGGCGGACGAGGCGGCGCTGCGCAAGCGGCGGGAGCGTCTGGCGAAGAACGGCGAGGACGCGGACGTGACGTACATCAATGAGAAGAACAAGCACTTCAACCAGAAGCTGGCGCGCTTCTACAACAAGTACACGACCGAGATCCGCGAGAGTTTCGAGCGGGGAACAATGATTTAGGGGGGACGGTGGTGTGTATCAAGACAACTAAAGACATAAGACAACTCGGAAATGGCTATGGCGTTATTGGCGGATCTGCATGAACGTGTTCTGTTTTTTATTTTGTTTTTGTTTTCATTTCTCCAGTTTTTTTCATTTTCTTTTTTTTTTTTTTGGGGTTGGAACTGGCTCTATGGCTTGGACGATCTGTCCTGGTAAACTATGATACACAAACGCTGATACTAATTGTACATTTGACAAACGCCGTCCCCCCCCCTTCCTTGCCTCGTTTTCTTTCCTCCCCCACGTGCTACAACATGCCTTTCCGCCAGCCTCGGTTGGCCAGCTCAACCAGCTGTGCCACCTCCAGCGCGCCGCCCACCGACTCGTCGCTCAATGCCTCGACCACCGCCTCCGCCACATCGTCCGCCTTGAGCGGCTTCGTGCCCATCGTGCCCAGCAGCCCTGTCAGCGCGCCGCCCGTGAACTTGTTGACGACGGTGCCGGCACCGGCCAGCGCGGCCAACGGGACTGTCAGCGGCCGTGCGCCTGCATCGTAGAGGAACGGCGCCCGCACAAAAATGGGCCGGCCGAGAGGGTGGCTTGGGTCTCTGGACGCGGCCTCCAGCTGCCGTTCGGCCTCCCGCTTCGTGCTGAGGTACCGCGACGGCAGGCCCGGTGCCGCTCCCGACGCCGAAATGTACGCAAACGCCTCGACGCCGCCCTCGGCAGCGGCTTGCGCGGCCAGAACGGCGCTGTCCCGGTTCATCCGCTCGTATGTCATGCCGTCTTTTGCCTTTGACGGATCGCTTGGTGGCGATGCGGCTCCACCCAGGACCTTTTTGATGCCCGTAATCGGAGACTCCTGTCCCGATAGAATCCCCTTGTAGTCGGCCTCCAGCAGAATACCGAGGCTGTGCACGCCGTAGTTGGCGCCCCGGAACAGCGGCGCATATGTCTCCGGCTGGAAGACGTCCGCACGCTCCCAGGACACGCGGCGGGCCCACGACGGTGGTGTCTGCGCGCCCGTCACGGCATCCCACCGCGGCTCGCCCGACCGGCTGATGGATGTGACGTCCCAGCCGCGCTGCACGCCGAATTTGCAGATGCGCGACCCGAGAAAGCCGTTGCCGCCGCAAACGACAAGTCTTTTTGCTGCTGCCGCCATGGTGTATATGAGAGCGAGACTGATTGTGTGTGTGAGTGTATGTTTGCGAACTGGCCGAAAGACAAAAAACCTCCAATGGAAATCGTCCGCGAGCTCGATTTTGCGTGCAATTGCAAGTTGTCTGTCGGCAGCGGCATGTGGTGAGGTCATGGAAGCTCAAGGTCAGGCCATTGAGAGAGCTGCACGTGACACGCTAAACTTCGCAGAGTGGGTCCGGTAAATTTTAGTGGAGATTCTCCCCCTGGTAGCCAGTAAAAACGAGTTATTTGGTGGCCGCGGCGATCAATTTTGCATCGCATCGCGACAGCCAACTTTGCCTTCACTTTCATCACTTTCATTACGTCCATCACGTCCATCACCACGGCCACCGCCAAGCCTACCTCGCACCTTTCATCCATCGCCCGCCCTCCACAAATACCACCATCATGGCCCCTCCGAGTGGCGTCGGTAAGCGCGTCAAGGGCTGCCAAATCTACCGGCCATTTGTCTACGGCTCGACGTCGAGGCCATTTGACGACAAGACCAACCCCAAGCCGCCCGGCGTCCCCGACGACCACACACACTCCTGGACAGTCTTTGTCCGCGGCGTCGACAACACCGACATTACATATTGGCTGCGCCGTGTCCAGTTCAAGTTGCACGAGTCCATTCCCAATCCTGTTCGAAGTACGTGTTTTCGGTCCTTGCTTCGCTTGCTTTTGTTTATGTCCTTCTTGGATGTGTTATTTCCCCACATTTGCCGACCCACGTGCTAACATGGCTGTAGTGATTGACGGCGAACCCGGCAAGCCGTTTATTGTCGAAGAAACCGGCTGGGGCGAGTTCGAAATCACCCTCAAGCTGTACTATGTCTCGGAGAGCGGCGAAAAGCCCCAGACCCTCTACCACCACCTCCGCCTGCACCCCTACGGCCGCACCGACGAGGACCGTGAGGCCATGCGGGCCACCGGCGAGGTCCCCGCCTGGACGTACGAGGAACAGCTCTTCAACGAACCCTACGAGGCGTTTTACGAGATTCTGACGACGGGCGCGCTGGCGTTGCCCAAGGGAGCAGCCGCAGCAGGAGGAGCTGCTGGTAGTGGTGGTGGTGGTGGCGGCGGTGCCGCCGGCAGCCCGGCCGCCTCGTCTGCTGCGGCCGCCGCGCTCGCGCCCATTGGCAAACGCAGCGAGGGCGGTGTGTTGGCGCGCAGTGCCATGGTGCCGCTGCTCTCGCGGCAACACAGCCCGTTTAGCAAGGAGACGGAGCAGCTGGAGATCAAGAAGCTTCAAGAAGCACAGGGCAGTGTGCAGAGCATGACCGAGAAGCTGCTGGCCGAGCTGCGCGTCAAAGAGGAGCGGCTGGCGGCGCTCAAGAAGGAGGCCACGGACGCCATGGTGGCAGGTTGAAGTTGAGTTTGTGGGCAAGGAAAAGCAAAAGAGACAGAAACAAGAAAAGAACCGCAGACGCCATGCGCCCAAGCCGGCTAAGGACGCCGGGCAGGTGGGCGGCAGGCAACGAACTACCGGCGCCAAAAGGATGGCTGCCCACGAGTCCCGGCAAAACAAATCTACGGATAGAACCTGGGCAGACATACAGACCCAGGCCCTGCGACAACATTACATCAGCAGCCAACATGGCTGGTAATGCACGCGGCACATGATCAGACAGTCTGAGCATGAACACAGTGGCCAAGGCGCGACTGGCGCGACTGGCAGTTGAATAGCCGTCAACAATAGCCATCAACAATAGTCAACAACCACAGTCAATAACTACAGCTTGCGACATAATTGAACCACTGTACTACATATCGCTTTAGCTTGAGCGAACACAGTTTTGCCTTTTCCTTTTTGACTTGTACGAAAACTAAGGCCCAGCAGAATCTCCCGCTGTGCCGCATCGACGGCCGATCTTATTGGCCGGCCCCCAATATAAACATGTACATTTATCCAAAGTGCATCCGGCTGTGTTACTCAATCGAGCAGGTGAAAAAACGACTCGATGATGGTCGCTTTGGGACATACTGCTGGAAAAATCTGGCTGAATACGCTCGTCCCATCCTTTTTCTCTCATCTCTTGTCTCCGCATGACAACATCTTGTCGTCTTGTAGCTCCTACAGTGGAATAGATTATCACTTTAGATTGACCCCAACCCCGGCCTGCATTTCCTGCCCCAAGTGGCCCATCTCACAAGACCCGACGACGGCTCCATCCAGACGCAAATTTGTGCTTGTTCCGCTTCGTCATGACGGCCGCGGACGATTACCAGCCAGCTGTTCGTTTAGCCTTGAACCTCTTGCTGCGCTAGCGATCGTCAGACGATGTGGTGGTCTTCTGTACTGCGACGGGAGACTGCAAAAAGCTTCCACTTTCCACTTCCAACTTCCTTTTGCACCCTTCGCTCACTGAGCCTCTATTTCCTGTACCATCCATTCTCGTCATCTGCAAGTGCAATTCTCGATACGATGTGATGGTGTCCTCCTACATGTCGCCTGCATCTGTCCTGCGTCTGTTTCCATCTTTCATTCTGTGACAGCCCGGTTCGTCCGCCTGTGAATGCATCGCCATATCGACAAGACCGAGACCTCTTATAATTGAGACGACACCTTCAGACGGTGACTACACCACGACGAGACAGAATAACGCGAAGCACTTTGCCGTGTCTGTTGTCAACGAGGAGCAAAAAAAAAAGGAAGAAGAAAAAAGAAAAAACAAAAGCAAAAAAAAGGACGAAACACGAGCAGAATTACCACATATCACATCTCGTACAATGCCATCGCAATGGACCAAATGGTTACGGAGTAGTCGACCACGAAGAGAGTCCGACTTGACAACTCTTATGGCCTTATTCGCATCCGTTTTGATGCTGGCCGCGCCGGCGACGGTGATGGCCGACGACAATGTAGTCGACAACGCAACATCGGGTCCCCTCGTCGCTGCTCCCATGGGACATGGTCCGGTCGTCCCGCCCGTCATCAACGCGTCGTTTACCTCGTCCTTTGACGATGTGATGCAGGGCCAGACCTTAAACCTCGCATGGAACCCAATTGACACCAAGTACGAGCCGCTGAGCATCACGGCGCGGGCCATCAATCGCACGGCCGACAGCCGGGCCAACTCGTTTCTCGTGACAATTGCCCGTGGGTCTCTCCCTTTTCTGCGTCGTCGCTCTTCTTGTTATAGAATGCTGAATGGTGCACCGCTGACCTGACTTCACCGGACCTGACAGCCCACCTTACAAATACATCGTCCTTCTCGTGGAGCCTGGTCCCCTTTCCATTGCAATATATGCACACCGGCATCTATGAGGTCGAGATCCGGCCGGCCATTTGGAACTTGTCGGCCAACGAGCCCGGATCGCTGACCGTGCCCGTGTTGGCGCGCTCCACCTTTTTTACGATTGGCGACAACGGCCAGGGCGGTGATAGCGACGTTGGCGGCGGCAGCGACGGCGATGGTACCAACGGTAACGGCAGCGACGGGAGTAGCGGAAAAGGCAGCACGTCACCCGACGCCTACGGCCAGTCAGAGACGAAAATGTCCGACGCGGCCTCGGCGGCCGCCCATAAGCGACTGGCCCTGGGACTGGGCATTTCGCTGGGCGCGGCCGGCGCGCTGGCGTTGGCCAGCCTCTTGTATGTCGTCCACCGGCGGCATTCACGTCGTGTGGCTGAGACACAGCGGCTACGGGAGAAGCGGGAAGCATCTATCAGTGAACTGTAGGCCGTTGTGGGCGAGAAAGGGGGCTGTTGGCTAGAGATGGTCGGCCCATGTGTGGCCTTCATGCTAATTTGTGATATCCCTTTTTGATGTTTTCTGGTGATGCATTCCAATCGTTGGGTCCTCGAGGCCAGTGAGTTTGATTTGATTCTCCCTTGGACAATATAACTGTTCCACCCTTCGTTCCTCTCGTCAGCCGGTCTCCCTTTCTATTATTCCAATGTTGAAAATGCAAAAAGACGACTGGAATAAAGTTGCTTCTATCTGATGTGTCTTGTACGGTGCATCATACACTGGAACCATATTTAGAAATACAATAAAACGTTTTATAAAATTGGCCAAAAATAAAACAAAAAACGTACAGCAGCGGGTATTCGCTGGTCGTCACCGACCCAACTACTAATCCGCCGATTACAGGTTTGACTCGGGGAGAGCGGACGGGATCCCGTATTCTCCTGTATCTATGGCCGTACGTGGAAGATGCGGGCCATATATGGAGTTATACGGGTAGGAGTCGTCTTCCCTTGTCCTGTCACCTCCGCCAACGATACCGGCCACTCTTTGCTCGACCGTACGGCATGGGCCCATTTTGCCATTTGTTGACTACTTGGTATTTATTCTGTCCGTTGGTGCCGGAATGCTTTAAGCAAGGCCGCACTATCGTAAAACTCTCCCTAGCAAAAAAAAAGAACTTCTCGGGTCTTGGTATCATACGACGTTTTTCTTTTCTTTTCGTATTCGCCTAGCTTGCCCCTTTTGCCACTTCGAATCGATATGCGTTAAAGAAACTGCAGTCATGTCGCCCCACCATGCTTGACCAAAGAAACCGCCGTCGTTCTGCCGCTCTCTGCCTACCTTGGTGAAAATGGAGGGGGGTGGATATTTCACTGACTCCATCCGCCATACAGTTGACTGACTTCCAAGAACGTCTGTGCGCATTTTGAGTTAAAGTCCCTGAGGCCCTGCATGTGGAAAAACGAACGTACCGCACCTTCAACGAGGCACGAATAGACTTTGTTTTTTGTGTTTTCAGAGCTGCCGTATGAGTACTGTTGTATTAAACGCATAGACCCTTGCCGTATATGATTTAGGGTTTTTCTTTTCTTTTCTTTTTTTTTCTTTCTCTCTCTCTCTCTCTCTCTCCTATCTATTTTGTTTTCCTTTCTTTTCTTGTCTTTTTCCTTTTCTTTTCCACCCCCCTCCTCTTTTACATGAAGCTGCGATATAGAATTAATGCGGAATAGACGGAGGTGTGTGACAACTCTAAGCTACCCCCCGGCAGAATAAAAAGGCGAAAAAAATGAAGAAAATGAACACAAAGGCGAACGAGTAACGAAACTAGGGGATTATTAGAACCGACCGACAGACCACAGGATGACTCCCAGAGGATGACTCCCAGAGGAGATCAAGTCTTGCTTTCTTTCTGTAATGGATATCGTCATTGTGGCTGGACATGGCTTTGCTCTCTGCCTCAATATGCTGCCGAAAGTAGTTCGTATGATAGCCAAGCGGGAAGATTTGCCCGACCAAGGTCTTTGCCATTTTGGCCTCCACCTCGTCCTTACGTTTTGCCTGACCTGTTTGTGATATTTGATATTGCTCAACTTACAAAAAGTGCCGGCGAATACGACATAGATTGGCCAACGTGTAGGTGCCCATGTATCTGGTAGCCTTATTGAGGAGCGAACAACGTGCGCAAACCGTTCCTTCCCTCTGTCCTCTTTTCTCTGTCCTTTATCCTCTTGTCAAATTTGAATAGTAAAGGTCTATTCCAAATACAGAAAGCACGAGAAACAATCCAACAACCACTTCTCTTTCCTCCGTTGTGGTCCAACTTTTGGACATGTACGTCGCATGCACTGTAAACGCCGTATTGCACTTTCTTCCTTTCTTCAAACGCTTGCAAAGGATACCGCCAGTTTCTCTTCCGCTGCCTGTGCCCCGACGGCCGTACCTGCCCTTTTTCTGTTATGCTTCATTGATGGTCGTGGCAGGAGCCAATCAGAGACCACAGCTCTGTCCCAAAAGGGAAAGACTTAGTGCCTCCAACCCCTGACACTTTCCCACGTCGTGGCTTCCAACCCGACGCGATTTGTTGTGGGCTGATATTAGTCATCCCACCATTAGTTCCACCTTCTAGATAGGCTCGTCCACCCGGCCAATCTGGCTGGCGAAATTTCGACTTGAAAAAGTCAACACGACGTTATCCTCAACACACCTTATCCTCGGTGATCTCCACGGCGTCTTCTCTAGTTGTCAACTACGCTTTAGATCCCATTGCCACTCCGCGGTATCAATGGGAATATGGCTTCACTCTTTCCTCTTTCGCCCACAACGTCTCCTCTGCTGTATCTTCGCCTAACAAACATCAGCATTTTGATTCCACGGCAGCTCGGGACGCAACACTATTGCCACCAGAAGAGACACCTCGATGTCATGCAATGAATGGCATTCCAACGCCACTTAGACCCCATTCCCAGGCCCCGAGAAACCGGTGGCGCCCATACGATGGGAACAGAAAATGTCTCCAGAGTCGACTCACAAATGCACGTCTTCACGTGGCACTGAGACGGCCAGTGGCTGCCTATCCTGTGCGGTGACTTTTCGTCCAATTGTTGTCCAAAGCAGCGACATCGTTCAGCATCTGGGACACCTGGACTCCGCAAGTACTCCGTCTGTCCGGGTTGCTCGCCTTGTTGAACACCCCAACATGTGACCTGTGGTCGCGTTTCCACTGGCGCCTGCCAACAGTGTCGGCCAAGGTACGCCGCGCTGCTGAATGCCCTGGAACCTGGGAAATGAGACCTTGCCAAATTGGCGCAGCCGTCTCGTCTAACCAACAGGAGTTGCAACCTCTCTCCTAAAAGCGCGAAGAGGGACAGGAAACACTGGTCCTGCTGGGGCACAGACTGCCTCCCTTAATGACAAGAGCACACCCAACAAGGTACGACACATGTGCAGGGAAGAGGGGGCGACCCTGAGATGCGCGTCGCACTCCGTACGGGGGAGTAATGATGCTGAAAACAAAAGGTACCAAAACCCAGTAAGGAAACCTGATCTGGCCGGGCGCAAATCTGGTCCGACAGCTCGTCAAAGGATATTGTTCGGTCCCCTGTTTGCCCTCGTCATGTCCTTACCTTTGCCCACTGCAAAGCTTATCCTGTCGAGACGTCAAGGTGCATTCAGAGCCATTCCATTACCACGTTTTATCTTTGCTCACAAGAAGCCAGCTCTGCCCTACGGAATAAGGCGTAGCATTCCGTGCTCAAAGTCTTGAACCTGACGTGCATTTACTCCCCAACGATGCCATGAACCGTATGGGGTAGTGGAACGTCTTTCGCGGATTTGGGTGGTATGAGAATGATAACAAAACATATTGCCGTCTTCCTGAAGTTCGACTGGCTTTCTGGCAATTTTACGGGGTACTCACGATCCTCATACCAAATCCCGAAAATACGACACGATGACGTTCCATAGGGCATCTCGTCCCATGCTTTTCAGATAGCGGCAGATCGCGGCGGGAGACGCGACCAGAGCAAACGAAGCAGAGTGCCATCTCATTGCCACGACACAGATGGCATCGAAATCCACTGCGGAAGCCGTCCACATATCCCACGAAGCGAACGCGTCCAGCATCGCCAATGAGATTTGACGCCCTGGCTATTTGAATTCCAAGCACGCCCGGGAGGCTGAATCGTGCGCGACCATGGCGTGACTATTCCCATATTCCGTGCTACTCGCACGCTGTTCTAGTTCATGTTCTCATCTCGCCCCGTCTCTACTATTCAGGACTTGGCGTTATGCCAAGCACCGGCACGCCTGGGTCGGCACCGAAGGCACACTGCATTAGTACCGCAAAACGGAGCCCAAAATGCACACTTCCGGCGATGTTCAAGAATCAGGCCACTCCTCGCGAGCTACAGAGGCGACCAGCGAAGGTTAAGACTGGGCGTCATTCCTGAGCTAAGTCGTACTTGATCTTATCTCGTGTTGGCTCGTCTTTGTTCTTTTTGATATTCCTCCACCTTATTTTCAACGGTTGGTTCACTTTCGTCGCCTCTTGCCTCGGCGGGTTTGGAGCCAATGGTATTACACAGGGCCTTTTGCAGATGGGTTTTTCCATGCAGCTCCACTCCCTGTCCCATCCCACTCTTTCCCTTTCTCGCCCACATCGTCACCTTGTTGCCAAGAAGAGCATGGAGAGCGCATACGACTACCCGCCCAAAGTCAAGGACCGACGGTGTCTTGGCGAGTCTACCGTTGGTTCGTGGGAAATGACTTACACCCAAAGAATAGATGACAGAAGCACGCTTGACCAACGCGTCGAAGACGAACCCATAACCCACGCACGCCTTGCCCAGCATGCACGGTTCGAGGCCATCCCTCTTGGAATTGAGGTAATGAGGCATAGCCCTACGTGACATGGTTCTTCCCACCAGATCTGAAAACTTATTTAACGGTCTCGTCGCGCGCACCTTGATGCCGCCCTCTGCTCCGTCTCGTTGCTTTCTTCTTTCTTTCATCAACATTAGCCGACTTTGCTGCTTGTCCTCTCTTCGGCGTCACCCGTGAGCATCTGCTTTTGCTCGTCCTCTCGTTCGCGCTCTCGGTAGCGTGCCAAGTTATATTCTATATTTCTAGAAGTGTGCGTTGAAGCCCTTGTCTCCTTTTTGGAAGACTCTCTGACCTGTGTTATTTAAAATCAGCTGCCGTCCATTCCGCCCTGGACGGTCGTTGCCTTGCTATACTCGAACACCAGCTAACATCAACCAAGCTCGGCATCCGCAACCGTCATGGCGCCCTCCATGATGCGGTTGGCCTCGGCCGCCGCCATTTTGGCGCTTTCCAGCTCGGCCCAGGCTGCCTCGAAATATTTCCTCGAAAAGACGTACGACTACAAGAACTTCTTCAGCGAGTTCGACTTCTACACTGGCCGCGACCTGAGCAACGGCTTTGTCAACTATGTAGGCCAGCCCGCTGCCAATGACATTGCCTATATCACCCACGACAAGAAGGTCCACCTCGGTGTCGACTCGAAGAACAAATACTCAACGAGCGGCCCTGGCCGGAAGTCGGTCCGCCTGGAGGGTACTGACACCTTCAACCACGGTCTCTTCGTGGCCAACTTTTCTTACCTGCCCGCCCCGGCCTGCGGTGCTTGGCCTGCATTGTACGTCTTTTGCTGTCTGGGGAAACAAGCCTCCCAACACTGTGAAACAATGGTATGACTGACACTTCATAGCTGGATGTACGGCCCCGACTGGCCCAACTCTGGTGAGATTGACTTCTACGAGTCGTGGAACGACGCCAAGTTCAACCAGATCACTGTCCACACATCAGCTGGCAGCAAATGCACTCTGGCCAAAGATCCTTCCAAGTTTACCGGCGAGATCCTGAGTTCCAACTGTGACAACACCATCGACAATCCACCCATTCAGTACCCCGGCACTGGTTGCTCCATCGAGGAAGCGGCTGGCTCTGCAGCAGCCACCAGCCCCTTTGCCAACCCCAACGGTGGCATCTATGCCGTCGAGTGGACTAGCGACTCCATCAAGGTTTGGAGCTGGAAGCACGGCAGCCCCGACCTGCCCAACGACATTGGTAGCGCCAACCCCGATCCGTCGGGCTGGGGCATCCCTCGGTCGTACGTCGGCAAGCCCAACTGCGACGTCGACTCGTACATCTCCAAGCAGCACATTGTCTTCAACATTGACTTTTGCGGCGATGGTGCTGGCAACAACTTTGGCTCGTGCTCTGCCGCCTTGCACGACCCCCGGTACCCAGCGAGCCCCCAAGGCTGCGCCGCCTACGTTGCCGACTCACCCCAGGTCTTTGCCAAAACCTACTTTGAGATCAGCGACCTCAAGGCTTACCAGCTAGTCAACCTTGTCGGCGTGGCTTCCAGGAACAGTTCATCGTCGTCCGCATCGTCCGCGTCGTCCACATCGTCCACGTCGTCCGTTTCATCAGCCAGTTCTGCCAGTTCCAGCTCTGCCAGCTCCAAGTCTGCCAGCTCCAGTTCTGCCAGTTCCAGCTCAGCCAGCTCCAGCTCTGTCAGCTCCAGCTCAGCCAGCTCCAGCTCAGCCAGCTCCAGCTCAGCCAGCTCCAGCTTCTGTCAGCTCCAAGTCTGCCAGCTCCAGTTCTGCCAGTTCCAGCTCAGCCAGCTCTAGCTCAGCCAGTTCCAGCTCAGCCAGCTCTAGCTCAGCCAGTTCCAGCTCAGCCAGCTCTAGGTCTGCCAGTTCCAGCTCTGCCAGCTCTGCCAGCTCTGCCAGTTCCAGCTCTGCCAGCTCTGCCAGTTCCAGGTCCAGCTCTTCCAATCCCTCTAGGTCTGCCAGCTCTAGCTCAGTCGGCTCTGCCAGCTCTACCAGCTCCAAGTCTGCCAGTTCCAGCTCTTCCAGTCCCTCTAGGTCTGCCAGCTCTGCCAGCTCTGCCAGCTCAGCCAGCTCTGCAAGCTCTGCAAGCTCTGCAAGCTCTGCCAGCTCTGCCATCAGCTCCAGCTCTGCAAGCTCTAACTCGACAATCTCTGCCAGCTCTAGGTCTGCTAGCTCTAGCTCTAGGTCTGCAAGCTCTGCCAGCTCTAGATCTGCCAGCTCCAGCTCTGCAAGCTCTCCCAGCTCTTCCAGCTCTGCCAGCTCAGCCAGCTCTGCCAGCTCTAGCTCTGCCAGTTCCAGCTCTTCCAGTCCCTCTAGGTCTGCCAGCTCTAGTCCCTCTAGGTCCGCCAGCTCAGCCAGTTCTGCCAGCTCTGCAAGCTCTGCAAGCTCTGCAAGCTCAGCCAGCTCTGCCAGCTCTAGCTCTAACTCGACAATCTCGGCCAGCTCTATCAGCTCTGCCAGCTCTAGCTCTTTCAGTCCCTCTAGGTCTGTTAGTTCTGTCAGTTCAACCAGCTCTGCCAGTTCAGCCAGCTCTACCAGCTCTGCCAGCTCTGCCAGCTCTAGTCCCTCTAGGTCCGCCAGCTCAGCCAGTTCTGCCAGTTCTGCCAGCTCTGCCAGCTCTAGCTCTAACTCGACAATCTCGGCCAGCTCTGCTAGCTCTGCCAGCTCTAGTCTCTCTAGGTCTAGGTCTGCTAGCTCTGTCAGCTCTGCCAGCTCTGCCAGCTCTAGTCCCTCTAGGTCCGCCAGCTCAGCCAGTTCTGCCAGTTCAGTCAGCTCTGCCAGCTCTAGCTCTGTTAGCGCCAATTCGACAATCTCGGCCAGCTCTATCAGCTCTGCCAGCTCTGCCAGCTCTGCGAGCTTAACCAGCTCTGCCAGTTCAGCCAGCTCTGTTAGCTCTGTGAGCTCTATCAGGTCTGCCAGCTCCAGCTCTTTCAGTCCCTCTAGTTCTGTTAGTTCTGTCAGCTCTGCCCGGTCTGCCAGCTCCAGCTCTGTTAGCTTTAACTCAACAATCTCGGCCAGTTCAGCCAGTTCAGCCAGTTCAGCTAGCTCTGCCAGCTCTAGTCTCTCTAGGTCTAGGTCTGCTAGCTCTGTCAGCTCTGCCAGCTCTGCCAGCTCTGCGAGCTTAACCAGCTCTGTCAGCTCTGCCAGCTCTGCCAGCTCTGCGAGCTTAACCAGCTCTGCCAGTTCAGCCAGCTCTGTTAGCTCTGTGAGCTCTATCAGGTCTGCCAGCTCCAGCTCTTTCAGTCCCTCTAGTTCTGCTAGTTCTGTCAGCTCTGCCAGCTCCAGCTCTGTTAGCTCCAACTCGACGATCTCGGCCAGCTCTATCAGGTCTGCCAGCTCCATTAGGTCTGCCAGCTCCAGCTCTTTCAGTCCCTCTAGTTCTGCTAGTTCTGTCAGCTCTGCCCGGTCTGCCAGCTCCAGCTCTGTTAGCTTTAACTCGACGATCTCGGCCAGCTCTATCAGGTCTGCCAGCTCTATTAGGTCTGCCAGCTCCAGCTCTTTCAGTCCCTCTAGTTCTGCTAGTTCTGTCAGCTCTGCCAGCTCCAGCTCTGTTAGCTCCAACTCGACGATCTCGGCCAGCTCTATCAGGTCTGCCAGCTCCATTAGGTCTGCCAGCTCTATCAGGTCTACCAGCTCCAGCTCTTTCAGTCCCTCCAGGTCTCCTAGTTCTGTCAGCTCTGCCAGCGCCATCAGCTCCTCTATATCTACCAACTCTCCTATCTCTACCAGCTCTGTTAGCTCTATCAGCTCCTCTAGTAGATCTACCAGGTTTACCAACTCTACCAGCTTTATCAGTTCTACCAGCTCTGTTAGCTCCGTCAGTTCTGTCAGCTCCAGCTCGAGCCCTTCCAGGTCCAGCTCTGCCAGTACCGCCAGCTCTGCTAGCTCTGCTAGCTTTAACTCTTCGAGCTCTGTTAGCTCTAGCTTATCCAGATCTGTGATACCTACCAGTTTTACCAGCGCCCCCAGCTCTGTTAGCAGCTCAAGCTCCGCCAGCTCGGCAAGCTTGAACTCTACCAGCTCTGCCAGCTCCAGCTTTACCAGCGCCCCCAGCTCTGTTAGCGGCACCAGCTCCGCCAGCTCGGTCAGCTTGAACTCTACCAGCTCTGCCAGCTCCAGCTTATCCAGCTTGTCTAGGTCTGCCAGCTTTACCAGCACCTCCAGTTCCGCCAGCGCTTCCACCTCCGCCAGCGCCTCCAGCTCCGCCAGGCCTAGTTCTAGTCTTGCGAGTTCCAGCTCTACCAGCTCGTCTAGATCTGCCAGCTCCGCCAGCACCTTTAGCTCCGGCAGGCCTAGCTCAACCCTTACGAGCTCCAGCTCTGCCAGTTCGGCTAGCTTTAACTCTACTAGCTCGGCCAGCTCAAGCTTATCTAGATCTTCTAGATCTGCCAGCTTTACCAGCGCCTCCGGTTCAGCGAGCTCCAGTTCGAGTCTTTCTAGTTTTAGCTCTGCTAGCTCTGCTAGCTTTAACTCAACCAGCTCTGCCAGCTCTGCCAGCTCCATCACGTCTGCCAGCTCTGTCAGCAGCTCCGTTTCCGTTTCGTCGCGCAGCTCTGCGAGCTTGGCCTCCAGCTCTGTCTCGTCTGCCTCCGCTTTGCCGAGCTCGCCCTCGACTAGTGCTACTCCCTCCAGCTCTGTATTTACTAGCTCTAGGTCTGCCAACTCGACCAGTAGCTCCGTTTCCGTTTCGTCGCGCAGCTCTGCGAGCTTGGCCTCCAGCTCTGTCACGTCGTCTGCCTCGACTAGCTCTGGCTCACCAAGCTCATCCTCGTCGGCTAGCGCTGCTTCCTCCAGTTCTGTATCGTCTAGCTCTACGACTGGCAACTCTACCAGCAGCTCCGCGAGTGTGTCCTCTAGGTCTATCTCTACATCTTCCGTTTCGGCCAGGTCCTCTTCCTTTAGCTCTGTTAGCTCTGCTTCTGTCTCGGCCAGCTCTGCCTCGTTTTCTACTTCTGCCTCAGCCAGTACTTCGTCGGTAAGCTCTACCATCTCTTCATCCGCGTCGGTCAACTCTACATCCTCCGCCTCGGCAAGGTCTTCCTCGACGGCCAGCGCTACTTCCTCCAGCTTAGCTACGTCCTCTGCCTCGGGCTTCTCGTCCAGCAGCGTTTCCGTCTCCAGCTCCACTACGGATGTCAGCTCCAGCTCGACCGGCTCGTCCAGCTTCACCAGCTCTGCCTCTACAGCCTCGTCGTCGGGTAGACCTTCCACCTCGAGCACCGCTTCAGGTGTAAGCTCGTCGACTAGCTCTTCCAATAGTACGAGCTCTACGGCTACCTCTAGCTCGGCTAGCTCCGTGTCTGCTTCTGCTTCTGCTTCTGCCTCTATATCGTCAGGTAGCACTTCGGCCTCTAGCTCTGCCTCTTCGTCTTCGTCAAGTGGCACTTCTGCTTCAGCCTCGGCCTCGGCCTCTGCCTCTGTCTCGTCAGGTAGCACTTCGGCCTCTAGCTCTGCCTCTTCGTCTTCTTCGTCAAGTGGCACTTCTACTTCAGCCTCGGCCTCGGCCTCTGCCTCAGTCTCCTTCAGCTCAGTTAGCTCCGTGTCGGCTCCTACTTCTGCTTCAGCCTCGGCCTCGGCCTCTGCCTCTGTCTCGTCAGGTAGCACTTCGGCCTCTAGCTCTGCCTCTTCGTCGTCTTCGTCAAGTGGTACTTCTGCTTCTGCTTCAGCCTCGGCCTCGGCCTCTGCCTCTGTCTCGTCAGGTAGCACTTCGGCCTCTAGCTCTGCCTCTTCGTCGTCTTCGTCAAGTGGCACTTCTACTTCAGCCTCAGCCTCGGCCTCTGCCTCTGTCTCGTCAGGTAGCACTTCGGCCTCTAGCTCTGCCTCTTCGTCTTCTTCGTCAAGTGGCACTTCTGCTTCAGCCTCGGCCTCGGCCTCTGCCTCAGTCTCCTTCAGCTCAGTTAGCTCCGTGTCGGCTCCTACTTCTACTTCAGCCTCGACCTCGGCTTCTGCATCTGTTTCTTCGTCAGGCACCGCTTCCGCCTCAAGGTCTACATTTAGCTCCGCTTCGGGTATCAGCTCTGTCTCGACCAGCTCGTCCAGCGTTGCCAGCTCTGCTTCGTCCGTACCGTCCAGCTCCGTCCCTGTTCCGTCGAGTTCTTCCGTTGGTCCTTCGAGTGCCAGCTCTGTTACTGTTAGCCCTTCGAGATCTAGCTCTTTGGCCTCGCCCTCTTCTTCCGTTGGTCCTTCTAGTGTCTCTACACCCTTGAGCTCTACAACTATTAGTCTTTCGACTACTAGCTCTGTTACCTCGAGTTCTAGTGTCTCTACGCCCTCGAGCTCTACAACTATTAGTCTTTCGACTACTAGCTCTGTTACCTCGAGCACTACGACCGTTAACCCTTCGTCTACCAGTTCTATTCTCTCGAGCTCTTCCGTTGGTCCTTCTAGTGCCAGCTCTACACCCTCGAGCTCTGCAACTATTAGTCTTTCGAGCGCTAGTTCAATTCTCTCGAGCTCTACCGCCCTGAGCCCTACGAGATCTACCTCCGTTTCCTCGAAATCTACTTCCGTTAGCCCTTCAAGAACTGGCCTTGCTTCCTCAAGCTCTGTCGGTCCATCCAACACCGGCTCCGCTGGCCCAACTGGTAGCGATTCGGTTATTAGCTACACCACCTCGACCGTCTTCTCTACCACTACATCGACGATTCTGTCGTGCCCGACTACAGTTACACATTGCCCCACTGGACACGTGACGACTATTACTTATGCCGTCACTACCACTGTCTGCCCTGTCACTAAGACTCAACAGCCAGGCACCTCCACTTCTACATCTACTGGTTCCGGCTCCGGCAGCGGTTCAGGCAGTGGCTCTGGCTCTGGCTCGGGCAGTGGCTCTGGCTCGGGCTCTGGCTCTGGCTCGGGCAGTGGATCTGGTTCAGGCAGTGGATCTGGCTCGGGCTCGGGCTCTGGCTCAGGTTCGGGCTCGGGCTCGGGCTCTGGCTCGGGCAGTGGATCTGGCTCGGGCAGTGGATCTGGCTCGGGCTCTGGCTCTGGCTCCGGCTCTGGCTCTGGCTCTGGCTCAGGTTCGGGCTCTGGCTCCGGCTCGAATGTCGTCACTGCCGGCTCGGCCAAGGCCGGTGTCAGTTCGTTTGCACTGGGTTTCGTTACCCTCTTTGTCCTTCTGCTCTGACTGGGGACATAAGAAATTGAGGGTTGTTTTTGGATTATTTTTGGATTTTAGGAATTTGTGGTTCTGACATGTTTTATTCTTTTCTATAATTCTTCTCTTCACTTGTCTCCAATTTTTCCTTTGTATCTTACTGCTTTCTGATAAGCAATAATTATGCTTGCACTTGCCCGTTGTCTTACTGAGCTATATGTTGTATTTTGAAAGGCCTTTTGTTTTTCAATTAAAGTGGAGATGATATTACATAATCACGTTCATTGCACCTCCCCGCCCAGGACGCTGAGTGGTGCGCACCTGCCCTCGTACCATTCTCGTTTTGTGATCCGTTGACCCGTCATGATTCAGTGCAAATCTTTCTCTTTACGCCGTCTTTGGTGTACAAGATACACAACATCGGCCGCCATGCTGGCGATGCAAATAACCCCGGCGGGCGCAAAGGCCCCCGCCCGAGCCGTGTGGGCCCTACGGTTCAGCGCGTTGCGACCTCTCCCACCCACCACGGTGGTAGCGGTGCCCTTTGTTGCCCAGTTCCAGTTCCGGATTGCACAGCAAAGATGGCTTTCGCGCTCGTCCCGACAGATGTACAACTATGACCCAAATAGCTTTCGCCAGCAACAGCAACGCTGGCAAGAGGAGCAGCAGAAACAGCAGCAGCGCTGGGAACAATATCAGCAACACCAGCGACAAGGACAGGAGCCACAGGCCCGGTTTAAGGGCGTGCCCGTCTTGGCCGGCGACATGCCACCCGAAGCGACGTTTGAAGACAGTGGCTTCCACCGTCGCGGCAGTTTCTTCAAGCGGGCGATGTACAGCACGAGCATGCAGACGGTTATGGTGGTCGCAGCCGTCGCCGCCCTGCTGTTCTATTTTTCGCACATGGAATTGGTGCCCGTGTCCGGGCGACGGCGGTTCAATTGCTTCAGTGAGGACTCGATGAAGATGCTTGGCGACATGCAATACGAGCAGCTCATGCAGGAGGCGCGTGCACAGAGCCAGCGGTTCCTGCCGGCGTATGACCCGCGCACGCTCGTTGTGCGGAACGTCATGTCGCGCCTGATTCCGGTTAGTGGGATGTCCGACAACCCGGGCGATTGGGAGATTGTGGTGATTGACGACCCGTCGACCGTCAATGCCTTTGTGCTACCGGGCGGCAAGGTGTTTGTGTACAGCGGCATCTTTGCCGTGGCGCGCAACGAGGACGCGATCGCGGCGGTGCTCGGCCACGAGCTGGCGCACAACCTGGCGAACCACCATGGCGAGCGGGCGTCGTCGGCTGTGGGCACGACAATGCTGCTGGCGAGCGCGTTTGTGCTGACGGCCGGCCTCTCGTACTTTATTCTGCAACCAGTGGTGGAGCTCGTGTTCAATACGCCCATGAGCCGGCTGCAGGAGAGCGAGGCGGACTTGATCGGACTGATGCTCATGGCAGAGGCGTGCTTCGACCCGTCGCAGGCGGTGGAGTTCTGGCGGCGCATGGACCAGGCACAAAAGGTGCAGCCGCCAGAGTGGATCAGCACGCATCCTTCGGTAGGCATCGTCGAGGCCCCCAACATGGAGTCTGTATCCTATGGACCGCACATGCTAACCATCTAGAACCAACACCGGATGGAAAAGATCCAGGAGTGGATGCCAGCAGCGATGGAGAAACGCAGCCAGAGCAGTTGCGACGGTACGCGAGACTTTGCAGAACGGTTCAAGCGGGCGCTGCGCAACGGCATGATCTTGGCATCATAACACGCATGTCTTTCGGAGTGGACTTTCGTGACCGAGGAGAGGAGTTTGACGTCGCTGGCCACCATTGGAGTTTTGTACTAGAGCCCCAGGCGTTCGCATCCTGCAGCCTTTGGTGTTCTGTCATATATGTATTGCTTTCTCGGTTAGCTGTGTTACTATCGGTACGTGAATTCCAATTTTGGTTATATGAGACTACGATCTCAATGTCACCAGTCTCAGCACCCCAGGCTGGAGAGACACACTCGTCGACATCTCCCACGACGGTGCGCAGCACAGTGGTCCTGCCATGGGCCGTTTGGTGCGTCGGATAGGACTCCGCTGGTTCCGAGGCGGACATTGCGTGTAACTACGTGACTCGCCTAATGGGGTACATCTGGGGGAGAGGATACTTGTGCCTAGTTGGAAGGAGGACCAGCACCAATAGCAGTAGCCATGATTATAGGAGAAATGATATCCGGTATAAGCAAAAACGATGGCAACGCTCTATTTAATACAACCATCCCAGCCGTGTGCCTTTATAGCCGTGCTTTAGAGCCAGGCCGGGGGTGGTTACCGTGCAGCCGCAAGCCCGTAATGGCCTCGAGCTCGTCGACGGCCTCATATGCCCGGCCCAAGTTGACCTTGATCGTGCGGAAGCCCTGCTTCTTGCCAAATTTGAGGTTCTCGCCAATGTCGTCCAGGAACAGAATATCTCCCGCGGTCACGCCGTCCTTCCAGCCATTGACCTCGCCGCGTGGTGTGTCTGCGTATGACCGTGCGTACTTGTCCGTCTCCCGCACTGCCAGCTGGTACATGGCGGGCTCCGGCTTGCGCAGCCCAACATGCGCCGAGGAAATGAACACGTCAAAGAGTCCCCGGATCGGATGCGACAAGTAGTTGTCGCAGTACAGCTCGTGCCCCGGCGGGAAGATGACTGTGTTGCTGAGCGCCGCGAGCACGTACTTGTCGCTCGCGCGCAGCGCGCGCAGCGCGGGAAACATCCACGGGTCGGGGACGTCGGAGGCCTTCATCATGTCATTGAACATGCGCTCGCCGTCGACGTCAGGCACAGGCGGTACCTCGGCGGGCCACTCCTTGGACGTGCCCAGCGACTTTTGGCGGGCGTTCTCGTAAAAGGCCTTCCACCGGGCCGGGTCGCGCAGGTCACGGTTGAAGCCCGCAAAGAAGCCGGCGTCCATGGGAATGCTGCCGCGCTCGAGCTTGTGCCAGAAGCCGTCGGGGGCCGTTTCGGAGATGGAGTGGTTGACCCACCCCGGCGGGATGCCGAGGCCAATCTCGTAGTCCAGGATGGTCTGGAAGGGCGACAGGACCTGTGCATGGAGTCAGTAACGGTCAATGGACTCCTGCTGTGTCCCTGCTGCTCCCTTGCTGCTCCCTCCTCGTCGTCGGTCGCTTACACAGACGCCGCCAATGTCAAACAAGATCACCTTGGGCTGCTTTTGCACTGCCATCTTGACGGTTTCTGCCGGTTTCTGCCGGAAATGAAGTCGATTACGGTGACCTTTCGCACCTCAAGCCGAGCAAAGGTGCAGTGACGAGGTACGTGCTGCTTACCTCGACCCCAGACGTCGTTGTTTGTCTGGGGTTGGCGTAGCCATGACTTTGCTGTGCTGAGGATTCCAAAGGGCCAGCATACCGTATTGGGCCGAGGTATGGGAATATCGGGGAAGGAGCAAGGGACCCCACAGCGGTGGTCGGATGTGCTAGTGCCGTGCGGAGCTGAAAAGTGGGTCAACAATGACATAAGAAAAAAAATGTCGTGTGCAAAGTCACGCGACTGGAAAAATGTCACGTGCGATAAGATAACAAGGCTCGTCCCCGACCAGACCAAAGTCGTCCCCGACCATTCTGCCAGTTCCCTTTTTGCATTTTCTAGGGCTGGTTGGTAGTGGGGATTTTTTTGCAGCCCACAAAAGTTGTGCGGAAAAAGTTCAATGTAGCGCAGACTTTGGTACTCTGGATTGCTTCACTTTTTTTTTCCCTTGCTTTCGCCCTCCAACCACCACCCATCCATCACCACCTTGCACCGTTCAATCGCAACAGCAAGCCGCCAAAATGGTAAGTTGAATCTGGAAGAGACGGCATGACCCTCGTGGCCATAGCCTGGACGGAGACAAAACAAAAGATGGAAAGGAAAAGTTATTTCGAAATCGACGACTCGATCCGAACGCATAATGCATCGACAACCGCCGATACAAAAATGAATGGCACATGGATATGAGGGGAGACAGGGACAGAATGAGAGTCAACGCAAGATGCTTCGGATTGGAAAGAGGAGGACTAGTTTTTCAAAAAAAAAAAAAAAAAAAAAAACACAATCTATCTCTGAAGCGACAATTGCTGACTCGGGGTTTCTTTTTTTCTCTTTCGTTTTAGCCTTTCCACAAGCTCGTCAAGAACAGCGCGTACTTCAGTCGCTTCCAGACCAAGTACAAGCGCCGCCAGCAGGGCAAGACCGACTACTATGCCCGCAAGCGCCTCATCAACCAGGCCAAGAACAAGTACAATGCGCCCAAGTACCGCCTTGTCGTCCGCTTCACCAACCGCGACATCATCATGCAGATTGTCACCTCGGAGATCACCGGCGACAAGGTCTTCGCCTCGGCCTACTCCCACGAGCTGCGCGCCTACGGCATTGAGCACGGTCTGACCAACTGGGCTGCGGCCTACGCCACCGGCCTGCTGATTGCCCGCCGTGTCCTGAGCAAGCTCGGCCTCGACGAGACCTTCAAGGGTGTTGAGGAGCCCGATGGCGAGTACACCCTCACCGAGGCTGCCGAGGGCGAGGACGGCGAGGAGCGCCGCCCCTTCAAGGCCTTCCTGGACGTCGGTCTGCAGCGCACCTCCACGGGTGCCCGTGTCTTTGGCGCCATGAAGGGTGCCTCGGACGGCGGCATCCTGATCCCGCACTCCGAGAACCGCTTCCCCGGCTTCGACATTGAGACCAAGGAGCTGGACGCCGAGGTCCTGAAGAACTACATCTTCGGCGGCCACGTTGGCGAGTACATGGAGCTGCTCGAGGACGAGGACGAGGAGCGCTTCCGCAGCCAGTTCCAGCAGTACACCGACGACGAGGTCACCGCGGAGGACCTGGAGGAGCTGTACACCAACGCCCACGAGGCCATCCGCGCCGACCCCTTCAAGAAGGTCGAGGGCGAGGGCCCCAAGAAGTCCAAGGCGGAGTGGAAGGCCGAGTCGCTCAAGTACAAGACCCCCAGACTCACGCGCGAGCAGCGCAAGGAGCGCATCCAGGCCCGCATTGCCGAGCTGACCCAAGAGTAAGCGTTGCTGTCGTGCTTGGCGGGTGTCTGCCTCTCGTTTCTATTTTGTCTCAACATGCTTCATCTGCTTGACGTTTTGGGTTTCCGTTTTTGTATCTCAGCCTCGTCTCGTACGTTGAGCTCAGGTGGGACGGGAAAAACGGAAATAAGGTGTTTAAAATTCTAAAAGACGGGTTATCTGTTATGAAATGTGAACCAAAAATTTCAAAATATAAAAGTCAAGAGCAAAAGGGCATCAGTGGATGGACAGAGAGTGCAAGCTTGTGAAATGTGGAATTATGAGATTGTCATGATAGAAATGATTTCAAGCGTGACCGTCAGTCGTTTTGCACGTGACTGGTTGGGGACGGTGTAATACACCATACTGCGGAAGGAACGGGCACATCCGGCGCTGGTTGACATAACAGAAAATTGAGCAACGAACCTCAACGCAACTGCTTGCGGCGAATGCGGAATCGACTATAAACTCTGCACGGCAAGGAGAGAAGCATCGTCTCTGCTTTTCCCGTTTGGGGGAAACTGGTTTCGTCGTGTTTGTTTTGGTTTCCTGCCCTCCAGGAGGGAATGTGAAAAGTCCGCCGTTCGCTCCTTCCACAGGGACACCGGATGACGGCAATCCCCGAGAGTAGATGCGGCACGTGAACAGGTTTCCAGTGGCAGGCCAAACTGCTGTTGTCCACGAACTTTGCAAAGCAAACCCAGGACGAATGACCTGAAATTTTTGCCACCGGTCAGACATTGCGATGCATGCGCGACCGAGAGGCAAATATAACAGGCGGACCGGACGGAGGGGTGACAACGTTCAAAGATACATTACCACTCTGTCCGGTCAGAGGGTCGATTAATGTATGCAGGCTTTTCAAGGATAATGAGGAGGAAGTTGACATCACCAAATCTGCAGGCTCCTTTGGGTAGTCGTCTCATCACGCACAGTCTTAGTCCATAACAAGACCAGGTCGCTGGAAAAAGATCTCCTTTGGGTCGGAATTGGGGGTGTTGTCTTTCGGTTTTATTTTTGCCCTGGCACTTCCCCACATTTTCACAACAGGCCAAGGACGTTGCGTCTGTCAAATTGCCTTGTTTCGTTGAAAATGACGACAATACTAAATATTGGCGTGAAAAACAGTAGGCACAAAGGACATGCGAACAACCCCAGCGGTGTGGATGGTGTACTCCCGTACGGTTGATATTCCGCAAGAAGCATTTGGTCATCACCATCCGGAAATCCGTACTTTCAGCGTCCGTTCAACGTATGCACTCCGTTCTGTGTCAATACTGATCACAGACAATAGCCTACGACCTAATTCGTACGACTCCCACCGATGGTGCCCCGCCGCGCTGGCCACTTGCTGGCCAATGCGTCGTGTCTTGAGTCGAGCATCCGAATTTCCCCTTGGTCTCTCCGTTACAGAGGCAGAGAGGGTGGTGGTGTCGAAGGCTGGAGTTGATTTGGAAGCTTCCCTACGATGTAAGTCTTACGTCGTTCAGCGAGCGTTGAAGACGGCAGGTTGATTGCGACCCACCGATGATTTGGCACGATTTGCCTCGATTCTCACGCTGTCTCACAGCTTCGTGTACCTGACATTTTTTAAAGCCTGAAACTAATACTAACGGACCACTGCTTGCCCTGTACATGTACATTCGCGAGATTGCTGACAGCATGAGCCGCTGACGCTCGTTGTCTTCCATCGTTTCTCGAGTGGCTTGTATGGTAAAATTACGTCTGCAAGTCGCTTCGTAAGGCAACAAACTTATCCGATAGCGCGATATCTTACCGTATCAGCTCAAAGGCCCTGGCGGTTTTGGTGGCGCCGATTTGTCCCTTACTATTGCCCCGAAATGTGGGCATCCGAAGTCTTTCGGGGCATTCTCGCGATGTCCTGTTCCGCCGCTTCCACGGCCTCCACTGCAAGGACGAGGTCGGATCGTGCTAGATGGAGTTCTCCGTTGTTAGTCGGACACACTCACGGAGGCCGTGACAGGACGAAATAGACAAGGATAAATTTGCACAGACTGAAAAAGCGCGGTAGTGCTATTTCGCGCCTTCCCGCCACCGATCTCCCGACTGCCTTCCCAGGGCGTTCTTCTATCAGTGAGGCAGATATAGACCCGGATGAATATTCCCTCTTTTGCCCGAAGGACAAGTCTTCACTTGGCATTGCGTGCAATTGGCAGCGGCACTTTTGTCTTTCTGTGTGTTTGCATGGCCCCGTCAACGAAATAGATACGTGCGCATCAGTACGAGGAAAAGTACGACATATTGCTTGAACAAAGGAGCCAACGCTTGTCATTGTCCCGCAAGGCCTTGGCAATAATACAAAATATGACGCACAGTGGGAACACAACGGTCTAGACGTATTCGTAGGTCAGTGACGCGGGGACATTATGGAACGAGACAGGCGCCATGCGCTATATGAAGCAGCCCATCTCGGCTCTATATTGCACAAGAAAAGACTGCGGGTTTTTCGCAAGGTGTGAATGTCTTCGAATTTGCGTTTACGCCGTAATTACAGCAATACACAGTCTCACTGTATACTGCAACGCTTGGAAATTCCCGGGCAAACCCTCTCCTCTATGTTGTACATTGTAGTCTATCGGAATAGCTCGCTGTGAGCCGCCTGGATTCGACCTAGCCTCTTCCTTTGGCTCGTGAGCCTTCTGACAAATGGTGACTGGCGCATTCGTTTCTTCCTGTTTTTACTGGCGGCCCGTGGGAAAGCAGCGGTTTGGGCTGTTTTTGGCCACCCTCGCCTGGCGTTGGTGTCCTTTGGGGCTGGTTTGGCGATGCGTTAGCGGCCTTGCTCTCCGCTGATGATTGGGCGATCGCATACCCCTGCTGGCTGGTTGGTGCTTTCGCTTGTGTGGATGTGGGACATACATGGCTTTATTCATCCCATGGCACTTGCCCCATCAAGGCCCCAAGGCCCCTAAAATCCGCCACTCTCCCAGCGTGCCAGCCTGCACCTTCTTCGCCCTCTGGCCCTCCTGCCAATATGGCCCCGGTTTCCCCCATTGCACTTTCCCAACCGTCTTTGTGCAATCCTTTGTGCCTTTGTTTTGCCGTCTTTTAGCAGGAACGCCGCCTGCCTTCAATGCGCCTTCCCCAGATTCTCAGGAGCCCAGCAGACAAGGCGTTGGTTTTCCATTCTCTTTTCGTCGTCTCTTTCTCTTTCGGAACTTCTCCCCGATCTCTTAAAATTATCCATTTCTCACCGTCGCACTCTTCGGTCGTCTTACATTCTTCTTTTCTCTTCGCCTCTGACGTGCGACCCGTTCCGTCGTAAACGAACACGAGACCTAAGATTACTTCGACGACATAGCATCACCCACAGGCTCCATATTGTGGCTGGCACCGCCCAGTCCCATATTACGACGTATAGCAAGCACCCCGCCACCGCCAAACAATTCGACGGCCTGCGCCCTGCAACAACTCCGTTGATCCCCTGCCTCCCTGCCCATTGCGACTGTCCGTCAGAGAGATCGGCTTCCTCCGTTGATTGACGTCGTCAGCTGCAGGCGACTTTCGAAGAAACCCTGGCCGCCCAAGGAGCCCACAAAATTATACGACGTATAACGGCCCTGCGGTAAATAGTCCTGTCTCAACTACCGTTTGACTCTCCGCGACGCTCACTCCCTCGAACTTCGCGGCAACTGCGACATACACGCCTCTTCCTCGCTCGAATCGCCATCTGGACTCGAATTGCACCGCTCCCCGCTTGGTCTGGATCACACTCGTCGGACAGGTGCTACCCCTGCGCTGATACATTCCCAACTTCAGCCCTGTAACCCCCCACGACAGCAAGCCTCATGGTACAGTTTATTGTGGCGTCGGCTTAACAGGCCATTTCTCCTGCTTTGTTTCGTTTTCTTTTGTTGCCTTGTGCCTTGCACAAGTGCCTCTCTCGTACGGCCGTCTACAGACCGACATCCACGTATCTCGGCCTCTTTTCACCTTCATATCAACCTACGTCCACCTGTAACGAGCAGCGTCGCCGCCCGCTCTTCAAACCGCAACCATGAACAGCAGCACCATGGAGCACATCCATGGCGTTGACGTCAGCTGGATGACCCACGGCGCACCAAAAGGTTTGTTTTGGTTTTGTTTTATTTTGACTCGTCACGGACATGCGCGATTGGCACCGGGCTTCTTGGCTTTTTGGGTTGCGGTCAGTCCAGACATACCAGTGACTAACTCGGTCCTCCTCTTTCTAGACGGCAACGCCCCTAAACCAACGAGTCGCCGGCGAAATACTCTGCAGTCACAATCGGCACCGCCGCCGCAGTCGCCTGCTACTCCGGCTGCTGGTGCGCCTACCGCCTCAAGCCCCCGGGCTATGCCATCCTCGTCGCCGGCCCCCATCCCGATCGCCAATGCCGCCGGCTCCCCTCCAACACAGCAGCTTTCTTCGTCATTGCCCGCAACGTCGAGCAGTCCACGCGGTCGGCGACCGTCGTGGTTTTCCAACATCTCCTCCAAATTCTCGACAAATCCCGGCTCCAGTCCACCCCAGGCGACCAACACATCTCCCAAGCAGGCCGAGCTGTCTGTCCCGCGCCCAAACGTCGCCAAGAATGCGGTACTGCAGCATGCGGCCAAGTACGAAGGCGAGGGGCCATACACACCCGCCCCGCCGAAATCGTCGGGCCAAGCCGGTCTCCTCCACGTATTTCGTCGGCTGTCTACGTCCACCAGTAACACCGGCCCTTCCGTCAAGGCCAACCACGGCCTAGTCGAGCGTTGCATATTGAACGTCGACCACAACCGCGAGCGGTGTCGGCTGCAGGAGTTGAACCAGGCAAAGCTGCGCCGCGTTGCCTTTTGTGTCGATGTCGAGATTGCCCCCATGCCCAAATACTTGGATCTGGACCTGGCTGCCAAGCAGGCGGCCGCGACCGTTGGACCGGTCCCGGCCGACAAGTCGCAAAAGCGGAAATCGATCGAGAAGAGCGAAGGCGATGCGCTTAAGCACGCCAGGGCGGGGGCGCTTCTGCCCGAAGACCCCAACGAGCAGTCACAACCGAATGCCGTAAACGCCGCCTCTAATCCTGTCGTCTCGTCAACAAAACTCACTCCAATTCCCGAAAAGGCTCCCTCGGCATCTCCGACACCCGCCGCAACCGCGACTGCAACCGCGCCATCCAATGCCAGCGCACAAGCTGCCGCACCTCCGGTACCCGCAAAGAACGACACGAACGGCGCCGCCTCCCCAAATTCCAGCCCACCACCCTCAACTTCGACGAGCGCCGACGCACAAACCGGTGGCGCACCTGCTGACCCAAACCGTAAAAAGGAAAAGAAGAAGCGGAGCGAAGAAGAGCGCAAGCTGCGCAAAGAGCGCAAGCGACTCCAAGCTGAAGCAAACGGCATGATCCCCATGGAGATCTACCTGGACAGTGACGACTCGGACAACACGACCGGCAAGAAGAGCACCCCGTCCACGGCGCCTGCCACACCGCGCACACAGCTCGCACCGACCACCAACCCTGTCCGCATCTACCGCCGGTGCTGCCAGCTCCGCGAGACCCCCATCTTGAAGAAGGTCACTGAGCAGCTGGCTGATCCAGCTGTCTTCTCGAGTGAAGAGGGCATTGTTTCTAAGCTTGATCTGACGGGCTACTGGCTGCAGCTGGCCGACCTTGTCACGCTGGGTGACTTTTTGGCTGTCGTGCCCATCCGTGAAGTGATCCTGGAAAACTGCGGTCTCAATGACGAGGGCCTCCGCGTCATCCTTGCTGGTCTTTTGGCGGCGCGGAAGCCCCAGAAGAAGCATATTCATCTGCACCATTTCCATCGCCATCTCCACAACAATGGCGCCTCGCACGAGGGTCAGACTGTTCCCGTGACGGCGGCCCTCTCCAAAGGCGAGACCCACCAAGGCGGATTTGTCGAGCGCCTCGTCCTCAAAAACAATAAAATTGGTGTTGAGGGCTGGAAGCACGTGTGTCTGTTCATCTACATGTGTCGGTCGCTCAAGGCCTTTGATCTATCGAATGTTGTGTTCCCACATGTGCTGGTGAACAGCAAGGCGTCGCATGCAAGCCAAACGCCCGACGCGAAATCCGCAGCCCAGCAGGCGCCTGCCAAGCAGCAGTTCGACGTCTGCCAGCTGCTATCAACGTCCATTGCTGAGCGTCTCGGCGGCTCGATGCTGGAGCTGCTCAATTTCGGTGACACGGGCCTGTCGTCCGAACAGCTGGGCTGGATCGTCGACGGTATTATCCAGTCCGGCACGAAGCGGCTGGGTCTTGCGCACAACGACCTCGACGACGCTGGCGTGCAGCACGTTGCGCGCTACCTTGCCAGCGGCCGGTGCGAGGGCCTTGATCTTGGCGGCAACGACCTGCGCGACCGACTCGAGAAGCTGGCCGACGCCGCCGCCATCAACGACTCGCTGTGGGCACTCAGCTTGGCAGACTGCAACCTGACGCCGTCCTCGTTGTTCAAGCTCCTCCCAAAGCTGGTGGATTTGCCCAATTTCCGCTTCATTGACCTGTCACACAACCACGACCTGTTCGAGATTCGACCGAGCGTCACAGCGCTGCTGCGGCGGTACTTGCCAATGATGGCATCGCTCAAGCGGCTGCATCTAGCGGACGTGGCCATGACGTCGGAGCAGGCCATTGCGATTGCCGAGGTGCTACCTGAGGTCAAGGAGCTGGCGCACCTCAACATTCAGCAGAACCCGGAGCTCATCAAGCTGGCCGACGCGCGCACCGAGGAAGCGCAGGAGCAGGCGTGTGCTCTGTACGCGTCGTTCTTGGCGGCCACGCGGCTCTCGAAGAGCATTGTCGCCGTCGACATGCCCGTCCCCACCGCCGAGTCTACCGAAATCGTGCGTGCCATGGCGAAGCACGTCCTTGCGTATTGCCTGCGCAATGTCGATCGTGTTACACTCGGCAACCCCGCGGCGCTCGTTGTGCTCGGCAACGCCAAGTCGGTGCCGCCAGTGGCCGAGCTGCCTGAGGCGGTGTCATCGGACAGCGTGTCGTCGAAGACGTTGCTAAGCAAGGGCGACGCCGACTACCCAGACGTGCTACAGCACCTTGTGGGCCACGACGCTGCCATCGTTGAAGAGGACGATGACATTGGCGCTGCTCCTGACGACGACTATGTCATTGGCGGTACAGGTGTCGCGCAGGCGCTCGAGTGCTGCCTGAAGAACCGCAACCCCGAGCTGACAGACGGCGCACTTGGTACGGGGGTCATGCATGAAGGCGATATTGCGTTTATGGAGGCGGCTGGTAGCGGCCTGCCCGGCCCGGGCAAGGCCAAGGACATGTCGAAGCATCTGCTGCAGAGTGCGCGCAAGATCCGGCTGCGGCTGCAGCCGGCGCTGCAAAAGGCGCGGTCCATGTCGGCTGTCGACAACCAAGCCTACCGTATGTCAACCCCGCTATTGATTTTGATTCTGATTCTGATTCTGTGGCGACCACCGTGCTAACCGATGCAGAACGCCTTCTCTTCCTCGACAACACGCTCGACGGTATTATCAAGCGGTTCGAAGACGAGTTCCCCGAGACGCGGGTGTCGATCGACAGCGGCGTGTCACTGTCGCAGCCCGCGGTCGATGCGAATGCGAACGGACGGCCACATGCATCGTCGATGGACTCGGGCTCGGCAGAGGCGGACGTCGAGGGCGATACGGCGGCTGTCTTCTTGTCGGACGGCGAGGATGAAACCGACATCTTGCCGTCGCGGCTGTCTCGGTCCAACTCGATCATGTCGCTGTCCTCCAAGGGTTTGACGAACGAGGAGGGCCGCGTGCTGCGGGCAGGCCACCGGTTCCGCAGCGGTTGGTTCAAGCATTACAACTTGTTGTCGGGCATCGACGAGATCGGAACGGATCCGGCACACAAACGCGTGCTGTACGAGCTGATCAACGAGATGAACGACGCCGGCATCAACAACAAGCTCGCCGAGAAGGGCATTGTGCGACTCTTCAAGGAGGACCGCGAAGAACTGCTGCAGATCCTCAAGGAGCAGGACCCAGAGCACTGGGAACGCTTCATCGAGTCGCAGGAAAAGGCACGGGCCAATCTCAAGATTGAGCTGGGCGGGTCTGGCAGCAACGGTGTGAACGGTGTGAACGGTGTGAGCGAACCCAACGGACCCAATGGACAGGGCGGAGGCGGAACCAGTGCGCTGACCAGTGCACTGCGGGCTGCGGCAGTGGAGGGCAACGAGTCGGCGATTGTGGACGACTAGGCGAACGTTTCTGTTTTTGTGGTGGTGCTGATCGCGATGGCTGTCGTTGCCAGTGCAATGCGTCTTGGTGTGGCTTGTCTTCTATTCCAAGGTCGTGTTGTTTCCTTTGACCATCTTTTGTCTTTTTGGACATTGACATGGCCGAGTAATGAGGGAGAGACTTACCTCGGCTGTGTGTGTTTTTTGTCGTCATCCTGTATTTGTATTTGGTTATTTTTTCTCGTTTCTCTTGTCGTTGTTTCCAGGTCTGCAAGCGTTGTCATTTTCGGTATCTCAAACCGTCTTGTTATCACGAACCGCCTCAAATAGCAGCATTGTTTTCCGTTTGTGTCCTTTGTTCGAATGGTTTCTGTCCCAGTGCTGTTTGGTCGATTGCCCTCGCCCGCTGATATCAATATCGTGTATATGCCATGTTTGTATTTTATTTCAGAAGAGATTCAGACCAGGATTGTCCACGGAGAATGGGGAAGAAGAGACGTAGAGAAGAGGAGATGTGAATGCAAGAACGAGGTCTAGGTTTGGATTCGATGTATGTTCCATATCGGAGAAAATAAAACTGAAAGACACAAAGAGCATGCTCGTGCTCCGCAATTTGGCGAGGGCAGTCGGCTAGCCGGTGGTGCCGTGTATTGAAATTGACTTCTCGCTAGACGTCGCCCTGTGTAAGACCATGTTCGCAAGACTCGCGCCTTCGCCTTTACAGCGCCAGCGCGGTGGAGTGCATGCAAAATAGACAGAGCTTGGAAACGTGTCGGGCGCAGCTGCCTCTTTCTCACGTCGCCGTAACTTGCATGTGTCTTTTCCCCGAGCGATCCGGTCCGCGGAAGCGAGAACGACGCGAGACGATGTAGGCGCGTCGTTGTAGACTGACCTGCAGGCCAGTCTTTTTCAGACTCGTATGGCAGTGAGTCGAGTAGATGGCATAGTAAAGACGAGGAGAAGGGCCATTGTACGTGATGACTGGCCCGTTGAAGAGAGACTACGATTCGCTCCGGCCAGGAAATAGCGACATCGGCGTGGGTGCAATGTTTGCTGGTTTGGTGGTGCTGCTTTTGTGCCCTGGGAACGCAGTCTGGCGTCCACGGACTGCGGACAACCTTCCCCTTGTTGTTTCCTGTTTCCCGTCATTCTGACGCACTGCTCTTTGGTATCTCGGCAGCTGTTGCTTTCTTACAGGGGAAAGGAGTGGGCCTCCGAGTTCTGTCAACCGGCAGGTGCACACGCCAAGTCTAGCCTGCCGTTCTGGCACCGCGCCGGAACCGGAAGGTGCAGGAGGGGCAGCCCGAGTGCGGCCCGAGTTCTGACAACTTAGTCCTAACTGCATAACCCCCTTGCTGTGATTTGTAGGTTTGATTTCGAGGAGACATCAGATGTTACCCAGTACCTCTTTCGTACCAGAGATGGTCGGCTTACATCGAAAAATGCTCCAGCGGTTCGGCAGTACGGCAACTGAATATGCCATTAAGGCATTTGATAGAACCATGGTGTGGAACGACTTTCTAGTTCCGTCTTCTTTCGTGATAAACCCTTTCATGATAGGCAGCTGGGTTTACTAATGTCAAGGGTGACGATGTATTTGTGTTTTTCCTCTGTTCATTGGACTGGAAGGTTTAACCGCTTGACCAACGTGGACCGGTGGCTGGTAGAGCCATAGTTTTGAAATAGTTTATTTTTTGTTCTTGTTCGTTTCGGAGATCGCCCATGCGTTCGATTGGTGTTTGACCTGCTTTGGCCTACCAGTTTCCCCACGACGGTCTCACACAGTATGTCTCGTGTACCACGACTGCTCTTGCGCAGAGCCATGCAGCCATTTCTATTTGCATCGACATTGTAGTCTGTGTACTGGCAAGCTTCTCGATGGAGCATTGTCTGCTTTATTTTTGGAATTGCACGGGATTGTGTTGTAGTGCAGAATGGTGCACAACGGCAATTCCGCACGTGCAGCATTTCAAGCGCTTAGCAAGGGCGGCATATGAGCACAGAGCGGTAGTAGTGAGTCTCAACCCTTTTCTCGTTTGTCAACTCCGTCCTCTGCATTCTCCTCCCGTCCCTCGTCGATCATCCGCCAATTTTCACCATGTCACCATTTTCTATGACGGACCAAAAAAAAACACTCCAGCTGGACGAGAATCAGGGCGTCGTGTGACTGGAAAACCCCAAGACCAACGACATCATTCTCTATCCCACCTCCCGCACTTAAAGTTCATTTAACTCCAACCCAATGAGATCCGAGCTGAAGTTTACTTTGTTTTATTGCTTTTGTCGTTCATCTGCCACCCCCTTTATCATAATCAACCAGTAGCACAATCATATTGCCGTCATCAGCAGCTTTGCATTTTATTATTATTTTTACATCATTCCTTTCATCCCGACTCGCATAATGACGATGGCTTTGAGACTTTGGCGTACTTTTCTACGGAGTTCGACTGCACGGTATTCTTACTGTTACTTTTTGCAGTCCTCCCTAGTCGAACAGACGAGGCTATGTCTCAGGCCCATTTGAAAACGACAGACCCTCCTCCTCCGTCTTCGAAACTCGAACCCCTGTCTGCCCTACCGTCTCTCCATAAAATCCCTGCCCCCATTACCGGGCCACAGTCCTCCTCAGGACGCCCAGCCTGTGCATAAACTCGCACCCCTCCTGAAAATCCCCTGACTTATTTTAAAAATAGGAGCGTAGCCAATAACTGACGCGCAGGCAGGAAAAGGACGACTGGTAATACAGGGTGCGAACAAAATAAGTCACTGGCCACGCTAGTGTTGCTGCAGAATTGGCATTGCAAAGGAGGGCCATTCACGCGAGGAGACTTGATTGACAAACTTTTGAAAAAAAAAAAAGCGAAAAACACCACGCAACATTTTCATAAGAAACAAAAACAAAAAGAGATAATATCAGCTTCTGCCTCGGCCGGGAATCGAACCCAGGACCAGTGGAAATGGCAACGAGCCGGGAGGCATGTCATGTGCCAAGTCGAGTCTGTCCGGCCAAGGGTAGAAGTCGACGGAAAACTAAAGAGTGAAGACCGCGAGCAGGAAGCTGGAATACGAAGCGCAACCTCTTTTTTTTGTCAACTATTTATTATTGGATATCAACGGTCATAAAATTAAAGTTTCTTTATTTTTTTTTGTAATAAATATACCGGTTAAAAAAATCTTGGTCGCGTGTGCCATTAATACGGGAGTCGTCCGGTACGGGATATCGACGGTTTCCATTCTGGTCCGAGAGGGCTGCTACCGCCCGGATGCCAGCCGGGTAGTGTGTATTTCATCACTGATGTCCTGCCAATACCGGCACCACCAGAGCTGCCTCTGCCGTCTCTGCCAGGATCGTCTGTCGTTGTTGCCTCGCCACACCTAGCAATATCATTGACAGAAAGAACGGGAGCCTGTGCTTCCCCCAACAAGCACCCGTTCAAAACAGAAAGACAAAACAGAAGCAAGGAGATGGTGCTTGGTTGAGTTGCAGTTCCTTCCACAAACACTCGTCAGATACAAGTAGAAGGAGCACCGTGGCCCTTTGTATGATCGCAGCTTCCTAGTTGTAAAATAGCCAAGTTAGAGCGGCTTGTTTCCGGCCATGCTTGGCTCCTTCCTTCATGAAGCACTTGCCTGGAACAGAAAGAAGGGAAACCATGATTTGTAGCTCCTTCCACCATCGTGCACTCGCCAACTGTAAGTGGAAAGGACTGGATGGCGCATTCATTGTTATGATCGCAACTTCCCGTCGTACAGTTGACAGATGACGCGAGCTGAGTTCTATCATAACAACAAGACTCTCTTTTCTGTCCTCTCTTTTCTGTCCTCTCCTCCCTGTCCTCTCCTCTCTATCCTCTCTTCTCTGCCCTCTCCTCTCCATCCTCTCTTCTCTGTCACTCTTTTAGGATGCCACTTGGTACTGTTGTACACTTTTCAGCCTTCTTCCCTTGTGAATCAATCTCGACTACCAGCAACCATCCGACACCAAGACTGGTTGTAGCGCCGGCTCACCAAACGGCCTCGCATCTTGTTTGTGATAGAGAGCAGTTCTCGACACACGGCTGCAAGCACCATAACTGCCAACCGAGAAACTCCGAAACCGACCACTGGGCCGTTTAGAACCGTTTCTCGTTCGCTTTTTTTTTTTTTTTTTTTTGTTCTTCAGTTGTTTGCTGCCACGCAAAAAGTGGCAGCTCATCATTAGCAGCGATAGCCCCCGATCCTGCTGATTTCGATCAATCAAAAGGTGCGTCCCTCCAAAGATACATAAATCTAAACCCATCTGAGCAAATGCTGTGAAGACAAATTTTAGTAGTTGGGGGAGGACGCACCGGCAATTTGCTGATAAAGGTCTTGGCTCTTGATATTTATATACTTGCGAATTCCCATTTGCCACCAACACCGATGGCTGTGCATCGCTTCCGTCCCGCTGACCGACGGCAATTCGCGGCGATCATCCGCCCTACGCACTTTGCGCAAAAACCACTAAGCACGCAAGAGGGCTAGTCTGTTGACTTGATGACTTTCTGCGAGAGGTTTGTTACTTCCAGTTCTTTGCCGTACGTGGGTGACGTTGACGTTGTCGCTGTTGTACTGTTTTGCATGAACTTTACAGTACCATGAATCGGCCACCTCGAGCGACAACATTGCTCGTGCATTTTTTGGGCATTTGTGGCATTTTTGGGCACGTGCTAACCATGCTCGTGTGTATGGCAGACGGCCAGAAGTTGGAACACCACCGATGCATTTGGATTTCGGGTTTTGTTGAAATAGGGCGCCTTTGGAGAACACATGCCATAATGCAGTCGGAGTAATATGGGTATGTGGCGGCACAACATGTTCAGTCCCAGGCAATCGGAAGCGTGTTATTTGTGGAGGCGGGAAGCCAAGTTGCGTCCGAGCGTCTGCGAGGCGGCGACGAGTGACTCTGAGCCGCCTCTCTGCGGACTCTTGTCTCAGTATCACATCACGTTGGGCTAGATTTGGCCTTCTGCCAGGTACAGAATACGCCATACGGAGTGCTC